AGGCCTCCACGAACTCCGCATAGCCCAATGCCTCGCGAACCAAGAAGTTGTTCATCGGCTCGCTGAAGTCCCGCTTGAAGGCAAAGTATTGTTGACAGGTCGCTGCAGCATTCGGTAGCGTCTGTCGAACAAGCGGACTGGCAGCTAGGCGTTGGAGTAGGTCTCGAACACCATGTGTATGATCAAACTCCATAGTCGTCCAGCTCATTGCAAGGAGACAAGCTGAACCTTTCAACCTCCCAACTAACTTCGTGGCACAGTAGCGCCTTTTCTCCACTGGCGTTCCACGGACATACCAACACACCTCACGTGTGTAGCGCCTCCATGACCTCGCGCTTCCATCCCAAGCTGGAATGTTCTGCTGATCTTTCTCTGAGGACATGTTGACACCTCAGAGTGGGCCAAAATGGCCAGGTAAAGGTTCAGGTCGTATCACCTGAAGTGCAAAAAGAACTAGACGACGGATGGCCCGAGAGCGTAGACGAGCAAAGTCTTCTGTTGCTAGTATGGAGACACTAAATTACAAGACAATATATTGAAGATGTATTATAGGCAGACGAGAAGAGTAGTTTCAAAACAATATATTACAAGTACAAGACAATAGTTTGCATCGTATCTTTCGTAAAGTTGCAGACAGACGCTTTTACACACAGAACTGTTTACAGACAGACGCTTTTATTATACACAGAGAGGCTTTTACACACGGACGCTTTTACACACAGAGCTTTTACACACAGACGCTTTTACACACAGACGCAAATACACACAGAGACTTTTACACACAAACACGTTTACACACAGACGCTTTTACACACAGACACTTTTACACACCAACACTTTTACACACAAATTTTATTTTTACACACAGACGCTTTTACACACAGACGCTTTTACACACAGAGACTTTTACACACAGACGCTTTTACACACAGACGCTTTTACACACAGACGCTTTTACACACAGACGCTTTTACACACAAACACTTTTACACACAAACACTTTTACACACAGAGACTTTTACACACAGAAGCTTTTACACACAGACGCTTTTACATACAAACCCTTTTCCACACAAACACTTTTACACACAAACACTTTTACACACAAACACTCTTACACACAGGAGCTTTTACACACAGACGCTTCTACAGACAGAGACTTTTACACACAAACGCTTTTACACACAGACGCTTTTACACAGAGACCCTTTTACATACAGACGATTTTACACACAGACGCTTTTACACACAGACGCTTTTACACACAAACGCTTTTACACACAAACGCTTTTACACACAGAGACTTTTACACGCAGACGCTTTTACACACAGAAGCTTTTACACACAGAGACTTTTACACGCAGACGCTTTTACACACAGACGCTTTTACACACAGACGCTTTTACATTCAGACGCTTTTACACACAGACGCTTTTACACACAGACGCTTTTACACACAGACGCTTTTACACGCAGAAGCTTTTACACACAAACACTTTTACACACAACGCTTTACACACAGACGCTTTTACACACAGACGCTTTTACATTCAGACGCTTTTACACACAGACGCTTTTACACACAGAGGCTTTTACACTCAGAAGCTTTTACACGCAGAAGCTTTTACACACAAACACTTTTACACACAGACGCTTTACACACAGACCCTTTTACACACAGACACTTTTACATACAGACTCTTTTACACACAGACGCTTTTACACACAGATGCTTTTGCACACAGAGACTTTTACACACAGGCGCTTTTACACACAGACGCTTTTACACACAGACGCTTTCACACACAGCCGCTTTGACACGCAGACACTTTTACACACAGAAGCTTTTACACACAGACGCTTTTACACACAGAAGCTTTTAGACACAGACGCTTTTACACACAAACACTTTTACACAAACACTTTTACACACAGACGCTTTTACACACAGTCGCTTTTACATACAGACACTTTCACACACAGCCGCTTTGACACACAGACACTTTTACACACAGACGCTTTTACACACAGACGCTTTTACACACAGACGCTTTTGCACACACAGACCTTTTACACACAGACGCTTTTACACACAGGGCTTTTACACACAGACGCTTTTACACACAGGCGCTTTTACACACAGGCGCTTTTACACACAGGCTTTTACACACAGGCGCTTTTACACACAGCGCTTTTACACACAGGCGCTTTTACACACAGACGCTTTTACACACAGACGCTTTTACACAGACGCTTTTACACACAGACGCTTTTACACACAACACTTTCACACACAGAGGACGCTTTTAACACACAGACGCTTTTAACACACAGACGCTTTTAACACACAGACGCTTTTAACACACAGACGCTTTTAACACACAGACGCTACACACAGAAGACGCTTTTACACACAGACGCTTTTTACACACAGACGCTTTTTACACACAGACGCTTTTACACGCAGGCGCTTTTACACACAGACGCTTTTACACACAGACGCTTTTACACACAGACGCTTTTACACACAGACGCTTTTACACACAGACCCTTTTACACACAGACTTTTACACACAGACTCCTTTACACACAGACGCTTTTACACACAGACGCTTTTACACACAGAATCTTTTACACACAGACTCCTTTACACACAGAGGCTTTTACACTCAGAAGCTTTTACACACAGGCGCTTTTACACACAGAAGCTTTTACACACAGAACTTTTTACACACAACACTTTCACACACAGAGGCTTTTACACACAGAAGCTTTTACACACAGGCGCTTTTACACACAAACGCTTTTACATAAGACGCTTTTACACACAGAAGCTTTTACACACAGGCGCTTTTACACACAGACGCTTTTACACACAAACGCTTTTACACACAGACGCTTTTACACACAGAAGCTTTTACACACAAACGCTTTTACACACAAACGCTTTTACACACAGACGCTTTTACACACAGAAGCTTTTACACACAGACTCCTTTACACACAGACGCTTTTACACACAGAAGCTTTTACACACAGTAAAATCGCAATTTTACCTCAGTTTTTAACGTCCAACGTCCATTTCGTGCGTAAGGGTTGCGAATAACAAAGTAAAGTCGCAATTTTTCCTCAGTTTTTAACGTCCAACGTCCATTTCGTGCATAAGGGTTGCGATTGACAACTCAAAGTCGCAATTTTTCCTCAGTTTTTGACGTCCAACGTCCATTTCGTGCGTAAGGGTTGCGATTGACAACTCAAAGTCGCATTTTTTCCTCAGTTTTTGACGTCCAACGTCCATTTCGTGCGTAAGGGTTGCGATTGACAACTCAAAGTCGCAATTTTTCCTCAGTTTTTGACGTCCAACGTCCATTTCGTGCGTAAGGGTTGCGCGGGACACTTCAAAGTCGCAATTTTTCCTCAGTTTTTGACGTCCAACGTCCATTTCGTGCGAAAGGGTTGCGCGCGACGCTTCAAAGTCGCAACTTTTCCTCAGTTTTTGGCGTCCAACGTCCATTTCGTGCGAAAGGGTTGCGATGGACAAAGTAAAATCGCAATTTTACCTCAGTTTTTGGCGTCCAACGTCCATTTCGTGCGAAAGGTTTGCGTTTCGTGGCGCTCCGGCGGCACCGCCCCCGCCTTAAGAGAGAATAGAAGAAGAGCGAGAGGAGATCTGCAGATGTGAAGGTGTGAAGATGTAGATCGGCAGATGTGAGGGTGTGAAGATCTAGATCTGCAGGTGTGAGGGTGGGAAGATCTAGATCTGCAGGTGTGAGGGTGTGAAGATCTAGATCTGCAGATGTGAGGGTGTGAAGATCTAGATCTGCAGATGTGAAGGTGTGAAGATCTAGATCGGCAGATGTGAGGGTGTGAAGATGTAGATCTGCGGATGTGAAGGTGTGAAGATCTAGATCTGCAGGTGTGAGGGTGTGAAGATCTAGATCTGCAGGTGTGAGGGTGAAGATCTAGATCTGCAGATGTGAGGATGTGAAGATCTAGATCTGCAGGTGTGAAGGTGTGAAGATGTAGATCAGCAGATGTGAAGGTGTGAAGATGTAGATCGGCAGATGTGAAGGTGTGAAGATCTAGATCTGCAGGTGTGAAGGTGTGAATATCTAGATCTGCAGATGTGAGGGTGTGAAGATCTAGATCAGCAGATGTGAAGGTGTGAAGATGTAGATCGGCAGATGTGAGAGTGTGAAGATCTAGATCTGCAGGTGTGAAGGTGTGAAGATCTAGTATAACGGCTGCTTTTTTACGAAGAACCCTTCGCAGGCGCTCTCGGGAAAAAGACACCAAAGAGCTCGGCCAAAAGGTCTATGAAGTCCAGCAGGTAGAATCTGGTAGACCAGCCAATCCAAGACACAAGCAATGATTGCGGATCCAGTCACCTTCAGCGACTTCCTCACGCAACACCACCAGGTCCCAGAGCGTATCGCTCCGCTGCCAATGTAGCGGCAGCACAGGGAGCTATATTGGGCAAACCCACACCAAATGCAGCTAAGTCGCCGTAGGTGATGGAAATGATATAGTTAGAACCCCAATGCAAGCAAGGTGCTCAGCGCACCGGTTTTCCACAGCAGCAGGATCTCAGTGATCCGTCGCAGCCGGCATGGCTGGCGCAAGAAAAAGGGCCCTTTCCTGAGCCAAGTCACGGTCGTGACAAATGGTGGTGAAATGACCTGACAGGCACGGGCTGGACAGTCTCTGGTTCAGCTGCACATTCCCAATATATGGAAAAATAAAAAATGTTTGAAACCACCAACCAGGTCTATAGTTAATTGGTGTTTAAACATGTTTAAAGCAACATAACTGGAGGGGTTCTTGGGTTTGCAGATTTTCATGGGTCTCTAAACTGCGATTTCTGGAAAATCTACAGTGCCCTCTCTGGTAGTCCATAGTTTCCCGGAACATCCCCTGTTGAGTGAACGATGTTCCGATGACGACCTGCCGAAGTTCGGGGATGTCCCACTGCCATAGCCGTCTTCCAATCGGCGAGGCACCCAAGACGGCCGAATCCAGGGGCTCTGGCACCTCCCTGCCGCCTGCCAGGAAGCTGAGAGGATTGTCCACGTCCTTCCACACCAGGGCAGAACCATCGGTGCCTTCAGAATCGAAGGGGTTTGGTTGGCGAAAAACATGGGAGAACTAGTGATTTCACTGACCAAACCTGGGCCAACCTGGGAACTTAAACACCAAATGCTGGGATTTATCAAACTAAAAATGGGTTTTAAGCAGCTTTGGAAATTCTCTGGGCGAACTCCATACTTGGATCATAAAAATGGTTAGCTGTATATTATCAAAATCTCCCTTAGACCCGTGACTTTAGTGCTGTTGAACGTACTAACCCAGGCATCCCTATCCTTCCAGACCTAGCACCAGGCACCTTGCATCTGGAAGTCCACCAAGACCGAGAAACCCTTCATCACTTCCAAGTCCTGTTGGGTTTGGGCACCACAGCTTCGGGAAGCTTGGTCGTGTTCCACAGCTGAAACTTTGGTTTTGGCCACATAAATGTCACATAACTCCTCTTTCGCAGGGAAAACCATCCTGTTTTGTTGGTTCCAACCTGCAAGAAACAGGTCCTGAAGTGGCTGTTGACTGACTTCCTGGCTTCAAATCCAGCCATCCTCATCCAACCACCGAAAAGAATCCAGGCCTCCTTGGGCTGCCTCTTCCCGGCCCTCAATCGGATCAGTGGTGATGTGCTTCCAGGCTCGCGCACCTTGGGTCAAGTCGATGCAGTACCTGGTACCTATCAAAACCTACTCATTCACATCGTTGATCCCTAAAAATCAGTGGGTCCATCAAGTTTCATGCTGTCATAACAGTACATGACTGGTCAAACTTGTGGATTTCTCATCATTTTTTGACAAAAATGGCCCACATGGCGCCCAGAAACTCCCAAAAAGCTGCAGGGACTCAGCGCCACCAGCGCGGCGACGCACACGCAGCGGCGAAGAACCACCATTTTTTGCAGAGAAGTTTTGACAGAAAAATTCAGGGGGCTTCCCCGGCTGACCCTCCTGGGGTTGACATGTTTTCATGGGGCCAGTTGTCCCTGTGCCTCGCCAATCCACTCCACCAAAAATTTGGACAGGGGTACTATGTACCCAAGTAGCTGCGATCATCTTTGCCATCCAAAGGTCGTGTTCTTCGAAAAGTCTCAAAGAAGGGGATACTTAACCAACTCGTGTTAAATCAAGACATACAAGGTGAGGCCCCATTTGATAGCTAAGTTGAGGCACATGACTTGGTTACTGCTTGGGTTCGTAGGGGATTTAACTATAGTTCATGGGTGTATAAATGTGTAAACCAACCTGTAACTGGGGGGCCTCACCGTGTTATTTGCTTTCAAACAGCATACCTGGTAGCGGGTCATGTTGCTGCCGCACCATTGCCAAGTCGAGCGTGGGTTTCTGAGCCGAAAAAGAATCTCAAAATGTGTTGCGGGTGGATTGGACAACCGGTGCTTTGATCTCGTTTCATCAACACGTTATTGTATATGTTATCCCTTCGCGATCTTCGCGCATGAATACAACGGCCGCCACTCTTGGAGGAGCCCCTGGTAGTAATGTTTGAAACTGTGTGTCACCGATTATCATCATTTATCATGTGTACCACTGGATAGGATGCACCACTCACAGAACCTGAGTCCCCGGACAGGTCTTGTTCACTCAAGGCGGTGCCCTGAAAGATGTGAATCCTTGGCAGCATCTGAATGTTCTCGGGCCTCGGCTGGTGACACAACTGGAGAATGGCTGGGAAGATGCTGGGATTCCAAGATGAGAATTCCCCATCTTCAGGTAAAGGATCTTCCAAAATGTGAAATGGATTGAAATGGAGAGAAGGTTGCACTACCAAGGTATCAGAATAATCAGCCTGGTGCTTGAAAGGGGTCTGCCTTGCAATTGGATTTGTCCCCAATTTCCAGGGTGAAGTCGAACACACGAAACTGGAGAGCATTTCAACATCACACATCACCCTTGCGACAAACAAGCATCGAAAATCCGTCAAGAGATCAAGGTTTCCAGCTTGAAAAAGCTAGAAATCCATAGGAATCCATTTATTTGCCGTTCAAAGATGCAAGATTTCCATCTCGTCCTTGACGCTTTCCCCTCCCAGCCAGCTGTAGCACCCAGCTGTCGCAACCAATCGGTCACGAGGTCCATTCCCACGTGGCCAGGACTCAAGATGACCTCAGCTGGTCCCTCCGGTCCCGAGCCATGGAGCTTTGAGTGGGAGAAAAGCCATCTTTTGAAAAATGGGTGATGTGAGGAAAAGAGATCTTGGATTCTTGCAGATCTCTGAATATTCTGGAGGTTTCTGGAGGTTTCCTGCAGATGTTCCCAGCAATTCTGGGACTTGATGCAACAACCATCTGGACATCAAAACCTGTTCTGTTGACATGACAATGGATCCAACCAACAAGAAATGAGTAAAGATGACAATGACGATGGATCTCAGAAGAACTCATGAACTGGGACAAGAATGGATCAAAGAACACCTTTTCAGACTAAGTATATATACAATATATATATATACCCTCTGGTTATTTAACATAGCCATGGAAAATCACCATTTTTAATAGGTAAACCCAGGTAAACCATCTATTTCTATGGACCATTTTCCACTGCAAGTGTCAATTGTTATCCTGGAAGAACCTGGCCATGTTTGCCAGACTCTGGATGAAAACGGGAACCAGCTTTTGGCGAGAATTCGGCGATTTTGCAAGATCAGTGTGCGCTTTTTTCTGTGGGAAATATAATTGCAATTGTATTTGAAAAAGGATATTTGTGGAGTCAAGTTTCAGATTTTGTATGTAATTCTCCAGAAACTCTGAAACTTGACTCCACAAATATTGTGGGAAAGCGTATTGCACGATGACAAAAAATGGGCTCACTGGAAGTTCTTCCAAACTGTTTGACCTTGCCATTCTCAGGGAGCTTTCAAGCCAAATGGCCGACACATGAAGATCATCAGCATCTTCTGCGTGGTCTGGATGAAAAATTTCGGCCAAGAAATTCCTGCAGCAGGGCTTTCTGGATTTGTCCCCCCAAATGCATCTCAATCGCAGCCAGCTTTATTCACTGCAATCTTGAAAACATGTGCCCCCCATTTTTTCCGGGTAAGCTCTGGCAGGCTCCGACCTATTGGAAAACATTGTCCACTCAGACCCTCGCAAGTGGAGAAGCTGAAACTGTCAACCACTGGGGGAAGTGGCTAGCCATATCATTTTGGATAGTCCTAGAAGGTTTAGCCTTGAGTACAGTAACAAGCAACTAGAGTCAGAGGTAAGGTCTTGGTCAAGCCCGTCAAGCCCCCAAATTCAACCTAGGAATCCCGCAACAAGGCCCGTGTTTGGTCTGAAACCACGTGATTTTGGTCTGAAACCCTCCACCCTGCAGGTCCTGAGCATGAGCCCAGTAGGATTGCCGATGACCACAATGTACCTCAGCACCACACGCTGAAATGATTGAAATGATCCCTTCGGCATAGAAAAAAATGATTCTCGGAAATGGAGATAAGACCCCTCAGCTGTTGATTTGGAGGGTACCATTTATTCGTAGTTGCCGATCCTCAACCACGATTTATCAAACTAGGGTTGACGTTGATTCTAGTTTTAGAATGTTATGTGTATATATATATATGTGTACATATATATATATATATGAACATCCCCTGGTGCTTGGACCTATTCATTTGGAGTCCCATTAGTTTGGATTATTATTCTGACATTGGGTATGGTGACATCGTTGCCTGAGGTCGTCATAATAATTCATGCAAATCTATAGATACTACAGATATGTATCTTTATGTGATTTTATGTGTATGTATATATATACACACATCAGTGTGTTACAATCATTCCTTTTCCAACCAGCTATGTATATTTGCATGCACGATAATACATATAAACATTAATATAGATGTAATCTGTATGTACATATTGGGTGATTCGACACTAATATCATTGAAACTTGCCAGTACCAGTAGGACGATTCTCGCTCATCTCAGCCAAGCCACTTGCTATGCAGGATAGGCTCAAAGAAGCCGCCGCCCGTTTGGTTCACGGCCAAAATCTGAGAGTTCCATGGAGTCCCATCGGGGCTTTCTGGAAAACTGAGGGATCTTCAAGTCACCATGGGTTTCAATACTAAGATGGTCCAATGACTTGGATGATTTGGAGGTACTCCCCATGACTTAGGAAACCTTCAAGTAGCTTCTGGGTGAACTGCATGGGATCTGGTTTGGTGTGGACTTGTCACTCATCTTGCAGATGGTCTTCTCAAAACATGTGAATAGATATTTCCTTGAATGTTCGTGGATTCTCAGCTCTAGGTCTAGGCGCTTCCAAACTCCAAAGTCCTGATTTCTCCCACCGGACCGGATCAATTTTGGTGGATCTCGGAGTGGGGTCCCAAGAAGTGTTTGAGAAATCCTCCCGCCCTAAGATAATCCCAAAAAAACAGGGGCAAATTTGGGGAAATCCATCAGTCCATCAGATCTCCAAAACACACCTGAAGGCTCCGGTACGCCACCGTGGCCAGCCATGCAAGGCCAAAGTAGATGGCGAAGATGGTGCTTATTCGACCCACACCTCGGCTATCCCTTGGATTCTTTTCACTTCACTGCGATATCTATTAAGATCCATCGAGAGATGGCATTCATGGGGATTGACCAGCACTATAACAACTAAGTTACTATAACCATCTATAACCTATAACTACTAAGACTTCACTAAGACTCAAAACTTGCCTCGGATGGCCCAGTCCATGACAGCTCGCACCCCTGGGCATCCTGACTGGTCACGGGCGCCATGTCGCCAAAGCCCACAGTAGCCACGCCTGGTCTGCTGGTGGTTGGTGGCTTCGGTTTACTGAGTTTGCGATTCTTGGATGTTTTTGAGTGTTGCGATTGTTGCGATTGTTGCGATTGTTGCGATTGTTGCCATACCTTCTCCTGCCTCCCTCTCCTTCTCTTTCTCTTTCTGATTGGTTGGCTATGCCGCCAGAGGAGGGTGAACACTGGTGTTCACTGCAGAAACCAGGAAATCAGGCTGGTCATAACTTCTGTCTGGTGGCTGGTGAGGATAAAGTACACCGAGGACACAGTGTTCCACTTCTCCTGACGCCCAGCCACCAAGGTATCACTAATAATCGGCCACTAGACATCCAGGCCATCATCTATGCTGGTTGGTGGTATACCTACCCCTCTGAAAATATGAAAGTCAGTTGGGATGACAATATATGGAAAAATAAAAAATGTTCCAAAGCACCAACCAGTACAAAAAGGCTAGGGAGGTCCCATGACGATAGTCTCAGGACTGTGGCTTTCCAAAGGGAACAACACCTGACTTTCACAGCTCAGCCCCAGTGCCCAGCTCCTGGGAAAAGGATTGGAAGATTGCCGGCTCTCCAAGATTCTCCTGGGGCCGCTGTGGTGGAGGAATCAAGAAGTTCTAGGTCAAGTGAACTGATCACTGGTATAGATTCAAGAGTCAACAAGCTAGATCGAAAATCGAAAATCTATCATCAGAAGCTAGATGACCAATTTATTGATAGATTTGAAAAATAGTCAATAAATCAACTCCCAAGGTTTTTTATGTATCAATAAAATCGTCATAAACCTAAGGGAAACAAAATTCAACAAGCTGGATGGGAAAAAAAATCGTGAATCAACTCCCAATGGTTTTTTGCACCGAGAGACAAAGCTGAGCATCGCCATGGCCAAGAGATAGACCTGGTCAACTGGCGCAGAAGCCGAAAAAGTCATGGGATTCTTTTCTGGGAGAAATCCATCGAAATCCCCAGTTTTGAAGAGTTTCGTTTTTCAAAGTGGCTTTCATTTTTTCAAGGAGAATGATCTGATCATTGAAAATGATCTGAAATGGGATTTCTTCAAGGCATCCGATGCATCCAATACATCCAATAGCTCTGCAGCTCACCTTGAACGCTGTGGAGACGATCGCATCGATGATTTGATTCCGGAAGATCTCCGGTCAAAAGATGGCTGGGAGCGAACCCAAGGGTTGACAAGTTGCAGCTTTAGCTTTGAGAAAAGAGAGGTAAATTTAAAAAATGGGGCATGTACCCTTGCCATTTACTAGATGTTACTAGATGTTACAACCGATTTACCGCTGATTAGATACATCGCTTCATCCATGACGTCAATCCCCTCATGTCTGCTGATCCGTGGCATTTTGAGTCACCAAAAAAAACCATCGTCAGAATGGCCATCCTTGGAAATACCAATGGGATCAATGCCCAGTTGCAAGAGTTGCAAGGACATGTTCATCTTCATCTCTTATCCTTTGTTATCCTTATGTGCTATCCACATGTTGTTCCATTTGATATCCATTGTTTATCTCCAGCTTTCAGTGGCTCAACATCCCGGGGATATCAAAGGGCGTTGCCACCTCCATGTTGATCTTGTACGCTCTGAGGAGCTTCCCCCAGGTCCGTAGCAGGTGGAAAGCCTCGCAGCAATGATGGAACTTGACCACTGCTTTTAGGTAGGACTATCTTTTTGTGGGTTGCCATGTATATATGTGTATGGGTATATATATATACAATATATATTAATATATATATATATATATATACAATATATATATATTAATATATATATACAATATATATATATAGTTTTATGTGTTTCTAATGTTTTTGTATTTATGAGTACTGATGGGGATATCCCATGCATACCCATGTGAAGCTTCATTATCCAAAACTCTTTCGAAAAGAACTCAGATCTACATGTTATCGACCTACCAGCGGAGACAACACAATTTTACCACATGACTCACATGCTAATGGTCACCCTACAAAAGTCGCAACAAGTCGCTATAAGCCTTGTAAATTTAGGTGCCCGGTAAATTTGGGATGCCACTGGACCCCACTTTTTGATGAGAAAATCAACCAACCGCAGTTTGCTGGTGGCCCCCACGGCCAACCATGAGGGCGCGAACCACGTCTTCTTCCCCTGCGAAGTTCCGGGTCGAAAAAAGCATCATGGATGGGTCCATGACCCCTCTGCTGGAGGTTGTTCTTGTGACATTTGGGAAAGCCGTTGATCTCCACGAAGATGATGTTGCTATCATAAATGGATGGCCATGTCTCAACAAGTTCAGCACTGTTTAGGAAATCAGCACTGTCCCATGAAAGGATGGCCATATAGTAAAGTAGAGCCAGCCAATTTTGAGACAAGCTCTTCGACATCACCAAAATTCATGGCTGTTACAGTGTCTGGCAAATGAAAAACAGAGGGAAAGCATCTAGTCTATTCTATAGATGGGCAAAATTCCGTTGCCAAGTGGGATTACTAGAGGGTAATGTACACTTCTCATGTGAAACCAGGATAAACCAGGAATGTACCTGATGCAGCAGGGTTTCAGATGTGCATGAATCCAGTTTCACCCGGATGAATCAAGACAAACCATGTGTTGAAGTACCCAAAACTGTCAACAAAAGGCAGGTACAACGGTACAACCATATGTCATGAGACCAAAAAAATATCATATTCAATCTAGGTAGCAAGTTTCTGTATGCCCAGGTCTTGATTTATACTAGAATCTACGGTCAAGGGCGCTCGCCCGCCTCATGTTCTGTCACTGGCAGGCTTGCAATAGCACCTGTGGAATTGCTGGACTTATCAAGGCAGACAACGAACATCATCAAACTCACCAGCTAGCAGCTAGCATCCTGACCCTACGTACAAGTGACAATAGCCTTCGCAAGTCAGGAGAGTGGCGAACAACAAGTCAAAATAACAAAACGAACAACAACACACACCGCAGAAAAAAACCGTTTAAATCCCTCAAATTTAAACCTAGTTGGGCCACTTTCAGGGGCGAGGTGCAGAAACAGGCTCTCACCAGGCCTATCATCAATGCATCTGGAATGGCTCGATCCATAAACCTCAGGGGTTGGATCCCATCTGACAATGTTCCGAACGGGACCAAATAAGAAAAACAAACTGGGGGAGGAACCCTCTGGTAAACGTTTACATAACTATGGAAAATCACCATGTTTAATGGGAAAACTCACTATAAATGGTCATTTTCAATAGCTATGTTAGTCATTACCAGAGGGTAACCCAATGGAAATTTTGAGACCTACCCATTTATGTCACCAAAGATCTATCGTCCGTGGAGATCCATCGGCGAATTTTCTGAAAGGCCGCGCGGCCATGGGGCGAAGCAGCTTAGTTGACTAGGGATGGGAAAATCAAGGCCTCCTGGTCAAGGGACTTCCCCAATTACCAACTGGCATGTACATACGCAAGTAACTTGATATCTTTCCATAAGCACTTATAAATAGATGTTGTTTTTACCTGCTAGCTGCTTGGACCAGTTCCTACTAATCCTACCCTGCAACAATGAACCCGTTACTAAACCGTAATTTCTAATTGGTGCGAACGGATTCTGTTGCACCTTCAATAGCTGTAAATATCAAACATTATCAAACTATTTTCTGGTTGATATCCATGTTTGACAGGTTTACGCACCCATCAATACCGGTTGACAATATCCAAAAAGAACCAATTTATGGTCTAGTGACTTAGTCGGGTATTGGCTGTCCATCAGTGGATAGTTTGTGGTCTTATTGAACCCGTTTGTTCAATACCCATTGCCTCTTCAAAAAAATCACACTGGTATTCAAAACGCACCAATTGCAGATTTTGTTAGATCATGTTCCTCGGCAACGATGGGGTTTCAACCAAATCTATGTAGGTCCAAAAAATAGGATACCTCCCAAGTTTCGCAATAAAAATCATTGGGGGTACCCACCATGTTCAAAACAAAAAAAAATGTTGAGTTCAAACGCCCCTGAGGACCCTCACATCCATGCGACGCCTGAAACGATGCCTTCACAGTGGGCAAAGCCCCAATAGGGCAACATCAGGCCTGGGCCGGCTGGACCAAGAATTCCAAGGAGGGCGTGGATTGACGTTCTTTTTGTGTCTTCATGACATACTAAAACCTATTGATGCTATTGCGATATAATGCTATGTGTAGATATGATTCTATGTATATCTATATATATAATATAGATATACATATATATGTTATATATATGGTATAGATATACACATTATACACATAACAATCAAAATGGACCATGGAGAATTGGGAAGGATCCAATGTCTTCCAGCCATCCCAAGCGACCAAGGCGCAGAGGCAGAAGAGCGCAGAAATCGCCTCCAAGACAAAGCCCACCATGCTCAGGGAGGCCGTGTACCTCGCGGAACAATTCATCATATCTATAGTCTATATTATGTATATATATATTCATATGTGTATATAGTATTAAATTAGTATTATTGGAAGTTGTGTGTATACTTGTTGAGCATGGGTGCAAGAAGTATATGTATAATTATGTATATATATATATACACACACGTATGTATATATATACACATGTTTAATGTATATACAGCCATTTCCTTTAGACCATCTAAGGCCCCCACGTGCGGACGCAAAAATGGATGCATTGGATACTCGCCAAGGCAAAGTCCAAGACTAAGAAGAACTTGGAGGTGTTGAGCCTCTCATTACGACACGTCACGAAAAAAAGCTGCTGGCTGTGGACTCCCTCGACATCACGATGATGGGGGGCCAGTGTTGGACCGTTTTCTGGGACTGCGATTTTGGTGATGTTTCGTGTACTCATTTTATATAATACCATCCGGTAATCAAACATGGCAATGGAAAACCCATGACTGTAGATGATTTTCCTATTAAAACCTCGATCTACTGGGGGTTTCCCAACTAGCCACCTTTGATTACCAAAGGGTAATTTTTTACTGTCCGGATTTCAGGGTAGGAAAGCTCTTACGGGAGTGACAGTAATGTTGAACCACCGAACAATGATTCCTCCGGATTGATTGGTTCACCCTGTTGCCGGACTTTTGCAGGATGGGACTCTGCCGATTCAACCATGTTTCTCATCTGCATATAGCCGACAATGCTGCCGGGTTTTTATTTTAAACGAGGCAACTACAGTAAAAGGAATGCTGGCATGATCTTTGAAGTTCGAAGACGGTGAGAAAGTGGATATACGATTGAAATGTCATGCCCTGGGAACCACAAATTCGGGTCATGTTTGGTTATCAGCTATCAAATTGACCCTATCAAATAACCATGTCTGTTGATACAAGTTCATTTCTCCCAGTGATCAAAGTGATTCCACACCATTTACTCGCCATTTACCAAATTTCCAACCAAGTTTTATCTTTAAGAAAAACTGTACATTATCGTGGTCTGACATTTGTTTAGCATTTGCCTGCTCAAATGCCATGACAAAAATACATTGAAATCCCATGGTTCCCTGTTGGTATATCCCCAACGATGTCCCCACTCTATCCCCACTCTATCTCCATCTATATAGGTTTGGCCGAAAAAACGGTACCCTCAAAATTGATAGTTGATTATCATGCTTACTCTTAGATGGTTGTACACTGGGGATATGCTAGCCATTTTCACACATACCCACATCATACATTGTTGCTAAAGTTATATATTCCATTCTATTCCCGTTATCCTTGTTTATTCCATATTTCCGTGTGTATATATATATATACATATACATACACATATACATACATATATATATACATATATACATACACATATACACATACATATACATACATACACATATACACATACATATATCCACAATATATCTTTGTTGTATCCCTAGAAAGATTGAGCCATCAGCATCAAATGGTCATCAAATGGTTCGTGGTGAAAAATCCCCATGGATTGGTTCCTTTATATTTCACCATGAAGACCATCAACCAACTCTATATATACATATACATTTATACGTATATGTACATATATGTATGTATGTATATATATATATATGTATAAATATGTGTAAATACATCTACATATATGTATGTATATATATATATCCCTTAATGTCATAGTTGTTGGCTGAAACTCCCGCATGTATCATACATATACAACATATGCATAGTCCAACTTATGTACACGTAAACATCCCCATACTTGTTGGCGTGAAAAAGGATTGAAGAACTAGCATAACCATCAACCAACTCCCTCTATATATATATATACATACATACTGTATATATATATAGCTTACCATGTCCCATCAATAATCACCATATTTTTTGGTTCAAATCGCCATCTCCCCATCGTTCCCCGCCTCAAACAGGTCAGCTCCAGGTGCATCCGCCAGCTGTCCACATTGGAGGTGGCTGCAGTGATGGATAGCGCCAAGCCCAGGGCGAAGAAACCGCCCCAGCAGCCGCCCCCTGGGTTTTCCGTTCCCCTTGGATGATATGCCATGAATGTAACTGGGGATATAATCTCCATATATGGATGTTTCCCAAAATGGGGGTACCCCAATAGTTTGCATGGTTTATTGAAAATTGATTTTTCCCAATCTAAAAATGGATGATTACCTGGGGGTACCCCTATGACGAAACGGAAACCTCCAGTTTTTTCTAGGGTAAAATAGCTCTATTTTTTGTGGTTACTATCTGCTTACCATATTATTGGATCATCCCATGCCTGCAGTGGTTTTGTCACTTGGGATGACCCTCCAACTATGTGACGTTCATCCAAAAAAAGAGTGGCGTTCTTCGAGTGATATCTGACATATATTCTGACATTCTATCAGGCATTCTATCTGGAATTCTATCTGACATATTCTGACATTCTATCTGGCATTTTATCTGACATATTTTCTGATATTCTATCTGGCCTCCTATCTTACATTTGATCTGACATATATTCTGACATTCTATCAGGCATTCTATCTGGAATTCTATCTGACATATTCTGACATTCTATCTGGCATTTTATCTGACATATTTTCTGATATTCTATCTGGCCTCCTATCTTACATTTGATCTGACAGATATTCTGGCATTCTATCAGGCATTCTATCTGGAATTCTATCTGACATATTCTGACATTCTATCTGGCATTTTATCTGACATATTTTCTGATATTCTATCTGGCCTCCTATCTTACATTTGATCTGACAGATATTCTGGCATTCTATCAGGCATTCTATCTGGAATTCTATCTGACATATTCTGACATTCTATCTGGCATTTTATCTGACATATTTTCTGATATTCTATCTGGCCTCCTATCTTACATTTGATCTGACAGATATTCTGGCATTCTATCAGGCATTCTATCTGGAATTCTATCTGACATATTCTGACATTCTATCTGGCATTTTATCTGACATATTTTCTGATATTCTATCTGGCCTCCTATCTTACATTTGATCTGACAGATATTCTGGCATTCTATCAGGCATTCTATCTGGAATTCTATCTGACATATTCTGACATTCTATCTGGCATTTTATCTGACATATTTTCTGATATTCTATCTGGCCTCCTATCTTACATTTGATCTGACAGATATTCTGGCATTCTATCAGGCATTCTATCTGGAATTCTATCTGACATATTCTGACATTCTATCTGGCATTTTATCTGACATATTTTATCTGATATTCTATCTGGCCTCTGGAATTCTCTGATATTCTGACATATCATGACATATGATATTCTGACAGATCTGATATCTGGCATTCTAAGGCATTCATCTGGAATTCTATCTGACATATTCTGACATTCTATCTGGCATTTTATCTGACATATTTTCTGATATTCTATCTGGCCTCCTATCTTACATTGATCTGACAGATATTCTGGCATTCTATCAGGCATTCTATCTGGAATTCTATCTGACATATTCTGACATTCTATCTGGCATTTTATCTGACATATTTTCTGATATTCTATCTGGCCTCCTATCTTACATTTGATCTGACAGATATTCTGGCATTCTATCAGGCATTCTATCTGGAATTCTATCTGACATATTCTGACATTCTATCTGGCATTTTATCTGACATATTTTCTGATATTCTATCTGGCCTCCTATCTTACATTTGATCTGACAGATATTCTGGCATTCTATCAGGCATTCTATCTGGAATTCTATCTGACATATTCTGACATTCTATCTGGCATTTTATCTGACATATTTTCTGATATTCTATCTGGCCTCCTATCTTACATTTGATCTGACAGATATTCTGGCATTCTATCAGGCATTCTATCTGGAATTCTATCTGACATATTCTGACATTCTATCTGGCATTTTATCTGACATATTTTCTGATATTCTATCTGGCCTCCTATCTTACATTTGATCTGACAGATATTCTGGCATTCTATCAGGCATTCTATCTGGAATTCTATCTGACATATTCTGACATTCTATCTGGCATTTTATCTGACATATTTTCTGATATTCTATCTGGCCTCCTATCTTACATTTGATCTGACAGATATTCTGGCATTCTATCAGGCATTCTATCTGGAATTCTATCTGACATATTCTGACATTCTATCTGGCATTTTATCTGACATATTTTCTGATATTCTATCTGGCCTCCTATCTTACATTTGATCTGACAGATATTCTGGCATTCTATCAGGCATTCTATCTGGAATTCTATCTGACATATTCTGACATTCTATCTGGCATTTTATCTGACATATTTTCTGATATTCTATCTGGCCTCCTATCTTACATTTGATCTGACAGATATTCTGGCATTCTATCAGGCATTCTATCTGGAATTCTATCTGACATATTCTGACATTCTATCTGGCATTTTATCTGACATATTTTCTGATATTCTATCTGGCCTCCTATCTTACATTTGATCTGACAGATATTCTGGCATTCTATCTGGCATCTATTCTGGCCTTTTTCGTGACACATATTCTGATCTGACATTCTATCTGCCATGCTTTCTGGCATGCATTCTGACATTCTATATGTTCGGGTCCAGGCGTGCTCTACTGCATCCGGAGTGAGTGAGGGAGTGAGGCAAGCACACCTTTCTTAAAATCTAAAGACCCTCACCTGGTTGGGAAAGCAGATGTTGATGGGGTTGAATGGGTGATTATATATTTGTATGTATATATATACATATATATATTGATATTTTTCTATTTATTTATCTACTTATTTATTTATGTATTGATTTTATCTATTCAGATATATATCTATATCATATCATATATATATATACACTTCTTTATTTATATATTTATTTATTTAAACATATATTTATATATGTCTATCTATTTATTTATTGATTTAGTTATTTATTTATGCATGTATTTATCTATGTATAGATATGTTTACTGGACTTTTGTTGAACGGCACCGTAGAATAATTATATACATATATATGTATATATATATATATTGAGGTTGTGCTGAACATGGACCAAACCCACTCACCCAAAAAGAGTCTTATCTGCTGGGGGACATTGATTTGCCCAGAAATGTGGTACAGTAATAATATATATATATTCTAAATTTGCTATTCAAAAGGGGAATAAGCCTGAATTAAGGCCGAATTGCTGGAAGAAAAGTGCACCCACCCGGCCCACAGACAAAAAAAGGTACCTGAACCATTGTCGTTTTGGGATATTTACCCCTGGCAACCATCATTCCGGTGACTTTTCTCAGTGATGTACCTCCAAATCCAAAGGTATCAGATTATCATATCCCATTATACCACCATGTTTGTTGGCAATATCCCTTTCCTTGTTGGTTTCCTCCAATTATTTCCCAGCATGTCTGGACATCTTAATCCCAGGAATAGGAAAAAAAGCTGCAAGAAACACTGAGATATTTGGAGGCATAAACCAGCCTGTTTCTAGTGAAGATGTTCCCATAAAATAAATATCCATTGAATATCAACTGTTGGCTAGCTAGCTAGCTAGCTAGCTAGCTAGCTAGCCAGCTATCTATCTATCTGTCGATCTATCTATCTATCTATCTATCTATCTATCTATCTAATCTATCTAATCTATCTATCTAATCTAATCTAATCTAATCTAATCTAATCTATCTATCTATCTATCTATCTATCTATCTATATACACACACACACATCCCGCACAATGTATATATATATGTATGTATATATCTCTCTCCCCATCATATCCCCTTAAATCACATATCACCCCTAAGGCTTGGCGCTAGGCCGCCGCACCAAAGGTCAGCTGTTGCACTTCGAAATCCCACGCAATCCCCGCGCAGTCATTGCCGCACACCAGCGCCTTGGCCAATCCCATCGATGGGGACATAACATGGAAAGACCTGAAAGGGTGTGTGTGTGTGTGCTATGTATATGTATATCTATATACATGTGTATACATATATATATATAAATATATACATATGCGACTATGGGATACACATGTTTTTTGCGGAATGATAATGAAAGTGACACATATTAGAACAATTTGCCAACCTGATATTATTAATTGGAAAGCAACCTTTGTGGTGTTCCCCCGTACGAACTATCCAGAATTCTGGGTCCATGTTGTATACCTAGAGCCGCAGCCACCTACAAATTGGCTTCTAGGGTGCAACATCCATAAAGATTCCTATGATGACCAGTGCTTTTGAGGATGGCGACAATGGGTTCCAATAGAAAGGGGATGACCCATGATACGTTGTGGGTTGCGACTGAGTCTGGTTTGCTGACCACAATTGTTTCTTCAAGTAACCTACAAATCACAAAACAGGGTTCCTTAGGTATCTTCCATGTGCATAAGTCTTTGGGGGGTTCACGTTCACCACTGTTGAACCCCAAATTTACTATTTCAGGTGATGGCTGCATTCAAAACAGTGGGAAATATAGGTCTCTCCTGCTTTGAGACAAGGCTCCGCCATCCAACCATATTAGCTCGGCATGAAAAACCGGCCGTGTCGTGAACCTGTGGAGGTTCTAAACCGGGCACCTGTCTTTGAGTGCCATAGTTGGATGTGTTCTGTGGCTGGGGCTTGGGAAATATCGACGTTGGAGGATTGTTTTCTGCTGTCTTTCATGGCAAAGAATTTTGAGTTCCATTTGGCAAAAGTTGCTTTTGGGGAAGTTCTTGCATGTGATTCTCTTCTGCACATTTATGTGAAACCAAATCCTTAACTCGAACCATGCAGCGCGGAGGGATGGGACACATCATGTTTGGTGGTTTTCCAAGACACAAAGAAATCACCATGGATGGACATATAGAACGTGCTAGGTCATAAATGTTGGCAAAAGGTTCCAGAAAAATACTGCGTGCGCAGTGCACGATGCCAAATATCTTCGCAGGGCACTCTTCTTGGCAGAGGGCCCCGAAGTTTGTCGGTCAACCCCGGTTGAATCCCAGAAATATATATATCTGGTTGGTGGTATACCTACCCCTCTGAAAAATATGAAAGTCAATGAGAAGGATTATCCCATATATTATGGAAAATAAAAAATGTTCCAAACCACCAACCAGATATATATATATATGTATATATATATATGTGTTGCTGAATTGCCCTTGCGCCCTCTTTTTCTGCATATCTCGATGAGACTTGCTCTGAAAGACTGGCGATCGCAGCACTTTTCTACTTCGGATTTTTTGGGTGGCTGAATCCACCATGGTTTGGTTGGACACAGTCAAAATCTAACTCGTGTATAGATATACTGTGTATATATATATGATTTGGGTGTGTCCAAAAATAGAGGAGATACCCCAATTGATGGCCATTTGAAAAGAAAACGATGATTCGAAGCCTTAGATTTTAAGCGGTGCCCTATTTTCAGACAAACCCATATTTTCCTCATCGTGGAGTGTCGATAAAAAATCCTATCAAAGAACCCAAGTCTAAGATCATCTGCAACAATAGATAGGTCACCTATGAATTAGAGATCATCTGCAGACTATCATCATCAAACCCATTCTTGAGATTCCTGACATGATTCTTTTCCTATGAATTCATAGTTCATCTCAAGCCAACCTTATCGAGTACGGTCACCAACAACTTCGATTCCTTTCTGAAAGGGCCGACTACGACTGGTCTTTCCTAAGATCCAACTGGGAGTAACTCGTAACCCCGGATGGATGTTTAGCCTTGGTGAGGGTATAGTGCATATAGAGATATGTCCAAAAAAAAATACCATAGTGGGAGGGGATTAACATCCAGCTACCACCTGTTGTGTCACCTCAGCTGGTGTTCATCGCTGGCCCTTAATTGGGCTTCACTGCATCTTACAGGGCTTTCGGTACTTGCCTTGGGAACGCATTGTTTTTTACTGCTCGACAGTGGCAACATTTTCTGCATGGACCCAAGTTCAATCGCAAACCCAGTATTTAGATGTCGAGTTTCCATCTATTTGGTTCTAATTTTTAAGATTTTGGATTTTACCATGGATGAAAATATGGTGTGTGTGTCAAACATTCGCAGCCCAAGACACTCCAACAACACCGGCATGTGTATCTTACTCCAACATGGCTTGCTGGAAAATCGCTAGACGTCACCAAGGCCCACACTCCAGCTGAACTTCCTTAGAGGCCAGAGGGACCCAACCAAGTGGGTGAGATTTCCCGAAGTCCCACAAAATTCCGAAGTTTGACTGGGAAACTGCTCATAGGCTATGAATCTCTGAAATCGTCAAGTTCATAGTTGATCCGTCTGACTATCCGAGTTGGTAGCTAGTTTGGAATCATCGTGATAGCCTGTCTCTGGTTGCACTACAGTTGTAAGTCGGGCTATGTGCAATCGCCAGGAATGGTGTACGTACCATAGAGGCTTTCAGCAAGTCGGCAGGACTTCAGGTCATCCAGCTGGGGAAAACGAAACAGAATGCCTCAATCAATCAGCGTTCCGCCATGAAGGAACCACAACTTGTCCTCACATCGCCTTTATATTCTGCATCCCGTTATTCCTTCTCTTTTTTTGCGCTGCTCCTCCATGCTCCGCCCAAAATCACCCATCCATGGGCAGTTTTGGAACTATTTCCAAGGATTAAAACGAACCAACTAACCAACTACCCTCTGGTAATGACTAACAGTTTGCTATTGAAAATGGTGATTTATAGTGGATTTACCCAGCTACAAAATGGTGATTTTCCATAGTTATGTAAACGTTTACCAGAGGGTAACAAACAGATCAGCTCCAAGGTGCCCAGGGCCACTTCGAACCCTTCGACTTGGACCGCAAGGGCAGCAGTTCCCGTGGCGTGCGCGGCGTGCGGGGCTCGTCGCCTGGTGTGGAAAGTGAGGCGCAGTAGTGCGGAAAAGGTTCACTTGACCAACTTGCGTAGAGGATCATCTTGGATGATTTTGCAGAAAAAACTAGAGACTGCGATTTATGATGATTTATGAATATCTGAGAGATTCGATACAAAATCCTTTCGAATTGAGCCGGTCAGCCCAATATGGGGCTTTGACCAACAGAAATTGGGACGAAGGCAATTGTCAATGGTCAATCGTGAGCACTGATTTGTCCAACCCAAAAAAAAAACATAGAAGAACATAGAAGATTCTTAATGTCCACTGAGTCCACTGATGATTTTTGGATCAACTGCTGTTCTTTGTGCCGAGTACCACCACCATCCCTGCGTTGTGAATTCATTGCACCACTTTTAGTTCCCGCCGAGCCGCAGCGTGCCGGCGGGGGAGCAACTTGTCTTGCCTCAAGGGGTGATTCCCACGCTGGATGGCTCCAAATGGGGATGGGTCAAAACCCTGGTACCTAGTGAACCCCAAAATAGCTGGTAAATGGATGTTCATCCCACTAAAAATGTATCTATAGGTATTGACCCATAATGATTCAAGCCGAATCCTGCAGTTCCGAGTTTCGGGTCAAAGGAATCAAAGGAAAGGAACTACCATCTGGTTATGACTCACATTGCATAGCCATGGAAAATCACCATTTTATAGCTAGGTAAACCACCATCTATTTCTATGGGTCATTTTCCATGGCTATGTGAGTCATAACCAGAGGGTAAATCAGTTCCCAAAATATTTTCCAATAGTACGATTCAACTAGCTACTTGCAGACACCTTACTTGGATCTGCAGACTTTGTACAGGAAATGTGACTTATGATATATGTATGTCTGTTACATATATGTATACTGTAACATACGTAAGTGTCTGTTACTTATGATATAAAATACTTATGTAATAAATATTCAATACATATATGTATGTATGTTACATGTGTGTGTGTGTGCAGTATGCATGTCTGAATTCTTCATCATAGGACAGTGTTGTCTGTAAACAGGATTGTCATACATAAGTATCACCATTAGTGTAGATTATCATCGTCATTGTCAATGCATATTGAATGAATCTATGCTTTCATGATTTGTATATAACTATATATTTTATAGTTGTGTATGTATGTATGTATGTATGTATATATATATGTGTGTGTACATGTTTATATCGGGGGTTCCTAAAATAGGGCTACCCCCAAATCATCCAAGTCATTAGACCATAAAATGGTATTGAAACAACTATGGTGACGACTGGGGATCCCTCATTTTCGTCTGAGGTCAGAGTCGTTGGGACTCCCAAACGGACACGAAGCCAAGCACGGAAAGCCTGCAGCTGGATTCAGCTGGGAGGCTGGGAGAAAAAATTGGGAGTCAACCTCCCAACTATTGATTTTTTTACACAATTTATCTCCCAATAATTAACTGGGAGGCTGGTAACAATTGAGATCCAAGATATTAGCAACTGCTGTTTCTATAGTGAGAAAACCAACAGTTTTGGGGAAAAAAATGATACCGAGTTTCTGAAAAATGGAAAACAAAAAAACAGCATCCTGCTGAAGAGTTTGGCAAAATCCGGATTCAAGAGCTCAAAAAAAAATCTGGAATTGAACTCAAGATTGCTGGTCTCTGAGGACCGACGGTGACCGAAATCAAGTCTCTGGACTCGTGGACCCGATTTTTCTACGAATTTTTTTCAGATCTCAGGGGCACTTTTTTGCCTTCCTCAGTGACTCCACGTCCAGCTACCCTCTGGTAAACGTTTACATAACTATAGAAAATCACCATGTTCAATGGGAAAATCCACTATTTCTATAGCCATTTTCAATAGCTTTTTGTATGTCATTACCAGAGGGTATATCTCCATTAAATCCCATTAAATCCCATTAAATCCCATTAAATCCCATTAAATCCCATTAAACCACCATTTTCCCATGATATGTCCATGATATGTTAGTCATTACCAGAGGGTGCCACCCATTTCTCTTGCCCCGATCCATCTGCGATCCATCTGCAGCTTAGTGGCAGCATCATCATCTGAAGGCCCATGGCAGTGACATCCGTCTGTCGCCCTTGGGCCTTGCCAAAAAGGGGCCCAAGAATGGTGGATATCTCTGGGAGATCATTTGGGAATTATAACTATAATTTGGGATGTGTATATTATATATATTATTATATATACTATATATTATATTATATATATATACTATATATACATAATATATACATAATATCTATATATATATTTATAATATATATATATGGACCTGAAACCATCTAATTTTGTGGCTTTGCCAGTTTTGGTCTGGAGCCATCCAACTAGCCCAACGTCAAGTAGATGCTTTGGAACCGAAAATGGATGGATCCAGCTACCAGTACCGAAGATGGTCAACTGTGTGGATCAATCAGTCTCCTATTTCTGACCTATTTCTGACCCAAAGCCATATTGCATAAACTTGATGACATATGCCATTGTATCCCATACATCTATTCTATCCCAGTTTCTACATCCCCAAGGGATGAGGTTGCCTAACTTTTCCCGTCATCGCCAAGTGCTGAGACTCGCACCAAAACTTGAATCACTGTGCAGAGGACGATAGCCGTGACATCGATCAAACCTTTGGTCAAGGCCTCGGCCAAGACATGGAGGATTATGGAAAACAGATAATACCAGGGATTCCAAGCCAAAGATTCATTTACCCAACGGTTGCAACTGATAAAGTAATGTAAAGTAATATATATATATATCAAACAAGATGTTCATCTACCCAATGATCAATGATTGCAACTGAATAAGTGCCTTGCCACATGCAATAGACGAAATCGCTCAGCTCACCAACCCCCAGGGCGTCGTAGTAAAATCTCCGTGTTTTGCTGGACACAATCATCTTCACTCAATTCTAGGCCACGCCCATTTCTAATGGTCATATACATGTGCATATTATACATATATATATATATATACATGTGTGTGAATATATTGTGTGTGCATGTCAGTGTACATATATATATACATATTTATTTATTCATTTATTTATTTATGTGTTTATTTATTTACTTGTTTTTTCATATTATATACTATATATATACATATATATATTATGTGTGTATGTATATATATATATATATTATCATATATTATATATGTATATTATGTATATACACATCATTTAATGTCATTGATAGCATCCACGCTCTTGGCGCTTTCCCGAGTTCCCGAACGTCCAACTTCTTCAGAACGCTGCCATTGAGAGCGCCACGGGCGACCACCTCATGGGTCACTAGCGATGATGGTTATCCAAATTGATGTTGTTAATGATATGAATTACTAAGTTACTTATATGGCAGTGTGTCAAAACCAATTGTACCCCTTCTGTTCACATCAAAAAAGCTGGTAAATGGATGTGAATAACCCCCTAAAAATGGTATTAATAGGTATTGATCCATAGCCATATGGAGGTTTCCTGAGTCATAGGGGTACCCCCAGTTCTCATCCATTTTAGATTGGTTTTTCCATTAACCATCCGTTGGGGGTACCCCATTTATGGAAACCCCATGTATGTATTATGGGTTGTGTATACCAGCAGGTTTACTATGCTTTACAGTACTTGCCAGTATGCGAATTGCTGTTGAGGCGACAATCGGGACAGGCTTTTTCGACCAAAGGATAAAAAAACCCGCCAAAAAACAACCCCAGTCATGCGTGACGTCCATTTTTTCCGGCCAAACATCCTTGGCCAAATTTCAGCTTCAGCTTCACCATAATTATTGGGGCTTGATCAGCTTGGTATTACCCTCTGGTAATGACTAACATAGCTATTGAAAATGGCCCAGTCGAAATAGTGGATTTATCCCATTGAAAATGGTGATTTTCCATAGTTATGTTAGTTCACCAGAGGATAAAACCCATTAGATCCCATTAAACCACCATAAATTCCCATAAATTCCCATTAGATCCCATTAAAATGTCCAGAGGGTAACTGTCCAGTTGGTACAGTATCATCCCGTGTCGCCGCTGACACCACTGGGTCCACTGGGTCCTCCCAACACAGGAGACACTAAGGGCGACTCTCAGCCTGAGCTGAAGCACCAATGGCGCTGTGCTTCGTGAGATATGGTTAATATTAATGGTTAATATTAATGGTTAATAATACTATTAATGGTATTATGGTTATTAATGGTTACTATTAATATATCTGGGTAAATTATAATATTTCACTAACCTGAATTGTTGGGCCATTTGGGGATGATTTCCCTATAAAAACCATGATTCCAGTGAGGGAGACCAGTGAGGTCGCAGTGAGGTCGTTATAATTTACCCAGATATAATGTGGTAAAACGGTAAAAACTCAGTAATAACCTCCAAGTGTATGTAGGTTAAGCACCTGTTTCTGCGAAAGTTGGCATGCTAAATTCCAGTCCTAAGTGCTAGGGCTGCGTTCGGGGCTCATGGAACTGTAGCCACGGCAGGTCATGTCTCACTGGGAAACCCAGTTGGTCTCATAGATTTTGGGCAGTCAGATATAGTCAGATGCAAAAAACTGGGAAGACCCAAATGACCCAAATGGATGTTTCTTCCAAATGGCCCATAGAAACTGGTGATTTTTTATGCTTTTGACCCAACGGCCCAAATAGCTTCACCAGCACCAATCAGCCAGGGTGACGGTAGCAGGTAGGGACTCTCCTCGTCCTCAGTCAGTCGGACCTGCCCTGGGTATGGACACATCTTGTTGGTGGTTGACCTACCCCTCTGAAAAATGATGGAGTGAGTTCGTCAGTTGGGATGACCTTCCCAACTGAATGGAAAAATCAAAGTCATGTTCCAAAGCACCAACCAGATTTAGATACACATACATTTGATATGATGAAACATGTGTCTGATGGTCGAGTCCGTTTCTATATAATATGCAAAGGCATCAAATTGTCAGAAAGCGTGACGAGTTCACTGCCCTTTGGAATGCAGGAAATGCATACGGCACTACACAGCCCTTTTGCACTTGAAGTAACCGACTCTGCCTCGAAAATGGCCCAAAAAATCGTAAAGTTTGGAACTCTCTGCCCCAAACCTGGAATTCTTACTGGCAAATGCTGGTAAAATGCAACTCACAACACACTTTGGACATCTTCACCGGCCATTTGTTCCTGGGCGCTGTGGCCCTGACAGGAGCGGCGGTGGGGACATCACCTCAATGTGGCGGCTTGCTCGTTAGCCAGTAAAAGTCCTCATGCTCCATGGCTTTTCAGCCCATACTTGTAGCTTCAAAGACCGGTGTATGTAGATTTGAAGCACTCATATATGTTTTATCGTTTGAATCCCCCTATGTTTTTTTGTTGAAACCTCCAGTTTTGTTGGCCACAAATCTATTTTGTGTAAAAAAAACGATGGACGTTAAATCCTTGTCGAGTAATGTCAACCCCGGATTGGTATATAATGGCTGAAGGGGGTCCAAAAAGATATTATGTCCTTTTGAATGAATTCCCAAAAATTTAATCAACAAGGATTGTCAATTCAGGATACCCAGGGTTGACATGCTTTTGGGTTGTTCAATCAGGGTTTCCCACTTGGAAAAAGACATACTGTATATGTTCTGCCGCATTTTCCTTTAGATTCCCCATGTTTGTTGCTTTAGACCTGTTTAAACCCCATCTTGGTGCTTGGAAATCCCAATCTCCACTGTAGATCCTATGTTGTGCCCGTGAAGAATGTGTAATTACTATTGTTAATGACAATAATAACCTTCATAATGGTATATTATATTTTTTTTTTGAGAGAGAGAGAGAGTATCAATAATCTAAGTAAATCATAACAATTCACTAGCCCATTTCTCCAGGCAATAATGGTAGTAAACATCATCATAATAATAAGAATAATAATAGTCATCATCATCATCATCATCATACATATATATATATATCATATATCATATATATCATATATCTAGTGTCCAACAGGATTATCATAACAATCATAGTCGCAATCATCGTATTTTCAGCCGAGGCACTGTCAAGCTCCATCCCGGGGTGGGCATCCGACACATCGGGCTCGTTGGCCCGACGCATGGCCACCATCAGCGCACCTGTCGAGAAATCGGAAATTGAGGGCTTTGGGACTCCGGAAATCCATAGGAAATTCATAGGAAATCCATAGGAAATCCATAGGAAATCCATAGGAAATTCATAGGAAATCCATAGGAAATTCATAGGAAATTCATAGGAAATCCATAGGAAATTCACAGGAAATTCATGGGAAATCCATAGGAAATTCATAGGAAATTCATAGGAAATCCCTAAGCAAAAGGCCTTTTTTCTCTTCGCAAATGTTCCCTTAGGCTATGGGCCCACGCAGACTGGCAAATATTGGGAGGTTGAGATCTCGGCGTGGCTTGGGTGAGTCTGCTAGTGCTGAAACCCACAAGCTGGAAGATGATTGTTCCATTGCATATGATGTGGAACCCAATAATATAGCATTCCAATACAAACCATCAACAATCACCGGTCTACTCAGTCTACGCACTTTAGTGCTGGGTTTGCCACACTATGTACAAGACAATTTTCCACGCCACGAACTGTAAAGGTAAAAGGGGCACAGCTTAGGCTTAAACTACCCTAAACTGCTTGATCATGGGGAAAACGTTGCTGTGGAAACCCCCGGGACCTAGCAAGGGCAATGAAGAACTTACAAACTAATCATCATTTCTCATTGTCAGATCCTCAGAAACAAAAATGCCCCAGAACACGTGCTCCTGGTGGTTGTGACCAATCAGTCAAAGTTGAGGCTGGTGAAGACTTCTGATCAAATACTGGTCCAAAGACGTCTTCTCTTAGATATCGTGCAAAAACCTGGATTTTTAGAAGCAGAAACCACCGGTTTATGGCAAGGAATGAATCCGTCGTCACCGCTCCTTCGCCAACCCATTCTTGCTGTGCAGATTTTTGCAGGTAAAATCTGCATTGCTCTGGTGATTAAGCTTGACATTTAACCTAACTACCCCACACTTCCAATGGCACAGAGCGCTCGTGCGACGCGCACCTGTTAAGCCGGCCGCATTCAACTGATGCAACTGGACGAACAGCGGATCCTGGGACAAGAATTACGTGCGAGCTTAGGATCTGTTGTTTGCAATGCTACGAGTCTTCACGCATATTTTCTACTTGCGAAACGAAACAACTCTTGGATCTGAAGCTACATTCCTACTTATATCATCTTCTTTTCATGCATTTCATTCCATTCATTTCTTCATCACATGGTCTTCAGTCATGGTTTCAGTCTAAACCTGTCCACACCCAAATGGCTGGTATATGTAAATGGATGAAAAAACAAACTCAGCAACCCATGGTCCTATATAGATTTTGACCCGTCTCATTGCGGGTATCTTGTTTGTATGCACCCCATTTTTTTCGAGTTAAAAGTCTTGATATGCTGTCTTGGTTCAACCACCATTTCGGCCGCTTCAAAAACTATCTTTGGGTCTTTGGTTCATTTCACCATCCTTTTTCCAAGTTATAGCAACTCCAAAAGATAAAAAATAGAGATAAATAGTGGGGTTCACCAGAAAATCTGAGGTTTCCCGCAAGGTTTTGCATCCTTTTCAATGAAACAACGCCTTCCCCGCAACGCCGTGTCCCCCTGTCCTTGGAACTGGCCTTCAGCTGGCGCTCCAGGTATAGGGTGCCGAAGGCCGAAGTGACGATGACACCCACCATGGCGGCAAACTGGGCATGGCAGCGGCTGCTGAGATTAACTGGGGAAGTCCCAGTGACTTGAAGTGACTGAATTCTATGGTTTATGGTAGATATAACTATGAAATAATATGATAGAACATGATAGAACTGTAGAAATATAGTATTCATGGGGTATAAACCAAGAAACATCACTGGGGACCGCCATCCTCTAGGTGCTCCCCATGATTTACAGCTTTTCAACCATCCGGTTGGTGATTGGGATAGTAGTAACAATATAGCAAATCTATGATTCATTACATATATTAGTGAAAAATATAATGGTACGAGTAATACTATGAACAATATCCCGAATCCAGATTTTACATATACGTCTATTCTATTTTAGCTGGATTTTTTGATAATCACAGTCCCAACCAAACTGGGAATGGAATATGAAAGAATGGGAATGAAATGGGAGAGTCAGTTCAAACTTATGATATGGTATTATTTCTACTATCATCACCATTATTGCTATTGTTGCAATAATTATCATCACTACTATTACTTATTCCATAATGGCATAGATGTTTCACCTGGATAGTAGGGCTTTTTTTTAGGCCGAAGCAAACATACACAAAAAAGGCCGATTCACAATGGGCAAAAAAAAAATCTGCAAATGACCATCCGATTGTGATCCCAAGGCCGTGTCTTGGGTATTTTCAGCTACTACGATCTCGAAGTACATGGGTGACACGAAGGAAATCTTCAGGTAAGAAAATCGAGTTATCTACAGAATATCATCCCGATATGCGTGGCCGAAAAAAAATTGACCCAAAATGGGTACCTGACTGGGCCATAATATCGAAGTACCCCATGGTTTTTTGTATCCGATACATCATACATCTTATATAATGGGATGACTACCAGCTGATGTAGGCATACATACCAGATATATTCAGATATGTCGACACATGTGAAATTCAAGTTGGGGAACTAACTGCACATCAGGAATTGGTAAACCCCGAGCTATAGCTGGCAGGGCTGGCATCATGTCTCAGCTTTAGCTCACATGCAAAGACCCTGAAGGCAGCTGAAGCAATTAATTTGGAGACCCCCAACTCCCGGATTGCAAAGTTCAAAGTTCAAGGTAAACTACTGTATCTGAAAAGTAGGCAGTAGGCCCAGTAGGCCCAGTAGGCTGGTCTGAAAATCGAGTTCCCAAGTCATCCACATCATAACTTTTGCGCACCATGGGCCATCCTTGGACCTTGGGACTCCTGGGGTGTCACTGGGATGATCGGACACTGAGCATGAAGCTCACTTGCTCTTCTCCCTGGCTGAAAAGAACATTTCGAAACAGCCATGGCTGAGAAGGAGAACCATGGCTGCACCGTGGATGTTTTGCTTCAGTTAGCTGGAGATTCTGCTTGATGTGGCGATTTTATCTAGTGGAAACCTGGGTTTGTGGATGTTTCTGGTGCGATTTGTTGCAAATTATCCAAACCTTCAGTGCTTCAGACATCCAAAGTGATCCCTTAGCTCGGCCAAAACGGTCCCAAGGGGCGCCTCTTGGGTCTCCCCCTCACCTGGCAGTTTCAGATTCATCTCAGCTGCATCCCAGCTTTAAAAAAGGATCAGCCTTTTATTTGTGTGTCTAAACTCTATATATATATATATTATACACAACTGTCAACAAACGGATGTAGTTAGTTGCGACATTGGTTTGGAATCTTCGAAGAATCCGGACAATTTCATGTACATCCACTAGACTTCGCAGATGGCGACCCGATCACCTGCGTCATGAAACCACCAAGCAGTTGTCTCTGAAAAAAACGATTTAGCACTGGTTCAAACCAAAATTGGCCAATGCAAATATAAAAAAGTTGGTCCAATTCTACCCCACTTGTTTTTCGTTATACCCACTTACAATGTCTGCATGTATAAATAAAAAATGTTCAAAATGTTTTTACCTCATCTACTTGCAAATTTATGGGGTTGTTTTAAAAAATGCTATGCCCCATTCCATCTCATAGGGTTTTTCAGGATGTTTCCCGGTATGTTTACCGGCCATATTTCATGGTATGCCGTATGCCCCATCAAACAGTACATTCCCAATCATATCATATATATATATATACATATGTACATACATTGTTGGCTACTTCATGTCCGTTGTATCTTATATACATATATGTTTACATACACTACACTCTATATATAAAATATACTATACGTGTATATACATCTATATGTATACCACTATATCCACATTAAATCATATACAGATTAAACCCATGAAATCTCCACAAACCCAATAGGTCTCCCGACTTCCTGCAGGTCTTAAGGCCTCGCAGCTCACCACCCGAGCCCCCCCCTTGTACTAGTTAGTTGATAGGTTATGATAATACAAAATAACCTAGGTAGTACAACTCCCCATCATGACCAATCAACCAATGTATTTTTGATAGCTCATATGGAGATTAACTCTGTTTTTGATGTTTGTCTTAATGATAATGGTCAAATCTCTAGTTTTTCATGGTTAGATCCCAATGTTTGCTTATTATATCCCACGAACAAATCTCATTGTTGATATAGTTCCCAGTTGGTATATACCCAATGATTTCCAATATTATCACCTCTGTCTCCTCTATATGAGTTTCTCTGAAGATGATTGGAAAACCCTAAATTGAATTGTTGAGACTGAGCAAATCTGGCTTTCGTTCCAAAATCTCCGTTATTTGCTATCCTCCATTTTCAGACTTACCATGTCTGGTGTGTATGAAATATGTAGACGTGCTACAATATGCATATGCAAAAAGGGATCACAAAAGTCGTGGCTCGGTAGTGCCTTTTTGGTCTCTGGAGACTCGCGGTTCCAACGGTTAACCAGGCCCCGTCATTTGCGGACTGAAACTATTTCATAGCCATTACCATCTGGTTATTTAACAGTTTGCCATGGAAAATCACCATTTTCAATGGGTAAATCCACTATAAATGGGCCATCTATACCATGGCTATGTTAAATAATCAGAGGGTATTTATTTCATCATTATCAATTCATCAAGACTTTTCTATTTTTCAAATGGCTCAATCCCCATCAGTTGCCTATGAAATCCCCGTCGAACATCGCCAGATGGTGAGGTCAACATGGCCAAGAGACGTGCGCCGGAAGGAAGTGACAGCCCACTTCGCCAGCCACGGCACCCGCCTGCGGTATTTTAAATGGGCACCGTGGCATAGATTTCACGATATAAGTATATCATATAGACTATAATTGATGAGATATCCAAAGTTTGCTATATAGTATGATGATGATATCAATTGTGATTGATATAAGTATGTCTTACTGAAACTTATCATCACTGTTGAAGATATCATTTGGCAATATACCATGTAACCCAAATTCTTCAGTGGGTGCCTAAAATCTGATCCGGGCGTCTCTTTGTGGAATTCTGAGTGGGTTGGACGTTCAAACGTTGTTTGTCAAACCTTCATTTCCTATCAAACATAGACAGAAAAGAACGTACATCATGTTGGGATGTTCCCTTTCACCATTCTTTGACATACGAAGTCAGCTGACGAAGGTATTAAAAGCAACAGATCCACAGTGCCATGGCGGTTAAATCCTGATGGTATTCTCTCGGGGGGAACCCACTGCTGGATCGCCACCGATCCCAAATTTCAAGCGCCTTGTACCACACCAGGACAATCTGCGGCGCAAAAATCTACGGAAAAATCATGACACCAGTTCCAAGGCTGTGCAGGAACACAGTTATATAGTTGGGATCATGTTCCTATTCCCAAGGCGTGAAAAACTCTTAGTAGCAACATGGCTAAGACCGCAGACAAGAGCTCTGCGCAACAACCTGGACCTGGTTGGTTTTGCGCAGTTCTTTTCTTACCTGGGACCTAACAGGTCATCGCTTCTGTTTGGACCATGGCAGGATTAAAGCCCAAGAATTTGATCGCGGAGAGCCTCAGCCTGAAAAAACGAAGCTGCAAAAACTAACGAAATCTTGAAAATTAGGCACTCTCTGGCTGATCTGGAAGTCAAAGTAAGCCAGCTCTTGTTTACTGTAATGGTCCAATAAATGCTTGTGTGCGGGAACTGGTTTAGGCAAAAATCTATACCCTCTGGTAAACTAACATAGCTATTGAAAATGGCCATTTATAGTGAAATTACCCATTGAAAATTGTGATTTTCCATTGTTATGTTAGTTTACCAGAGGGTATAGAAAACCATGATTTTGAGCCCAAATATACGGGTTTCCTGGAAATTCTCCAGTGCGTCTCTGGGCCATCCTGCCATACCCAGCACCAGCTGAAGCAAAGAGATCCAGACCTGGAAACTTATGCAACTCACTTGGGACAAGTTGGGATGATCCCCTTCTTGGAAATGAACATTTGTGGGAAAAAATCAACCTAGGAATCAATTGGCAGTGTGTCAAAACCTTGTACCCCTGGTGAACATCAAAATAGCTGGTTAATGGATGTTCATCCCCCTAAAAATGGTATTAATAGGTATTGATCCATACCCAATTGTGTATTCTACTGTGTATTGTTTTTTCACCACTCTCAACCATCAACACCTTCGGGCTTTTTTGAACACATCGATTGAGGGGGGGGTACCTTTGTGCCCAAATTTGGCCTCCCATTTCAGGTCGATGTTCAGGGATGTCCATAAATCCCAACTATTTTGATGTTCACCAGGGGTAATCACTGGATTTTGACCCATCCCAAATTTCCCCCTTAAGATCGCCAGCTTAGTGGTGTCATGGGACGACCCCGACAGGTGTGTGTCCCAACGTTCGCAGGTTGACGAACATGGCTGGCGATTCGCATGAAAACCTCGAGCTGAAAACGTGTGGATGGCTGGGAACCATCTGGCTGGCAGGGAAAACGAGCAAAATGCTGTGACACATGAAGTACCTATCAAGAATTGCCTCAGATTGCCCTGGGTTGAATCAAAGACCATGTTTCGCTGATCAAATTCCACTTGTCTTCTGATATTCTGACTCATTTCCATCTTCGTTAATCTCCATTTTGTCGCTTACATGTTCCCCTTTTTATCGCTTCGATCTCCATTTGATCGCTTAAATGATGTAGGGATCCAAGAAAACACATGCCACTGTAGTCCTGAATTCTGGCTGATTCACCAACCTGAGAAAACACATGCTGAGTTGGAGCACCGCAATGATTGCAACTCGAAGCCTCAGCTGTGGCGTCTCTTTCTGAAATTAGGATGTAAATTTAAATGTAATAGGCTAATAGGGTCAAAACATGTCAAACCCAAATCAAAGGCAATCTAGAAACATAGTGGTAAATGGTGTTCAGATTGATTTCCCTTGAACCACTTCTTGGAGACGTGCCCTGGGACCTGAGATGTTCCTCTTATGGTCAATTTCCCAGCCATGGTCACGGTTTTTTTTGAAGAGCCAGTGAAAAATCGAAATTGTCTGGATTGAATTCTTTAGATGGCAATTCTCCATTTTGTCAATTGCCTCTTATGGTCAATTTCCCAGCCATGGTCACGGTTTTTTTTGAAGAGCCAGTGAAAAATCAAAATTGTCTGGATTGAATTCTTTATTCTCCAGAATTGCCTCATGTTTGTTGGTCTGAAATGTCAAATTCTCCATTTCTGTCTGAAAAAAAAAAACTTAAGTTTCGGTGAAATCCCCAGGGTTCTCTTTCGCAGAAGGCCGCTAGGTTTCAGGACTGTGCAAGGAGATAGAATTGGCTCGCACCGAAACCTGACGAACTGGTCGATGCGTTTATTGGACCAGAGAAGCAACAAACAGCAGATGAAATCTCCAGGTTTTTTTTGGGTTTGAAAGGATGATTTGATCGACCAAAAATGACGGGATGTGCACTTTGCCCAGGGAGGGCTTCAATTTTATGAGATGCGAAGATGGAAAAACCTTTGGTGAGGCAATCTCAGGATCATTGATGCTGTAAGTTACTGGGATAAATCTCCAACGGTTTGTGCATGACGATGTCAAGAGTTCGGTCACCTTCCACAGAACTGGGAGTTGGTGGGTCCCAAATCGAACAGTGGGTTCGTTGAGGCATACCTGAGATGATGCCTTTACCCATCAACTACGGAGAACCTGCAAAAATGGTGGGTTCATTAGCAATAATGGTCAGCTGACCATGGAAAGAAATGGGATTCAAGTAGCAATGATGTGAAGGACAGTGGAGGATAGCCTACCTTCTACATGTGCGACAAGTCCTTGAGTACCCCAGAAATCCAGAAAGGATTAGGACTGGAAATAATTCATCTGTGCGCAGGTGTGTCAAAAGAATTGACCCATACCTATGCGAGGACGAAACTCTCCTTGGAAAATGCTATTGATATCTATTGATAGAGGATTTTTCATTGCATTGCCATATGGAGTCCTAAAATCGGGGTACCCCCAAATCATCCAAACCATTTAAGTATCAAAACCCATGGTGACTTGGGGATCCCCCACTTTCAGAAACCTCCATGTGTGATTACCAGAAGGTAACCATTCTTCCAGAATTCCCTTGGCATTTTCATGGTGGATTCCATGGATTTCTTTCGCCGCCTTTGATCGCCGGGTAGGTCATGAAGCCGGCCCAGCTGTAGGCTAATGAGGCGGGCATGAAGGCCAGGTACCTCAGTTTCTCCTTTCATTTGGGATGTTGGAGGGACTTGGAGTATGCTCTAATGGTGTGTTCAAATCATCTTAGGAATGGGAGTCATTCATGGGATCACCAACGATATGATACATGTGGGTTAGTTCATCCTGACATCCTCACATCAAAATTACGTTAATCCCCAGAAGTGGTATACTGACCGCCATATGGCGAAAGCCTCTGGTCTTTTGGTAACTGAATGAAACTTAAGACCTGAAATAGGAATCCACCTCTGGTGGAATGTGTTTGATCCAAGCCCGAAACCTTTTGTTGTGTGGGGATTGCTGAAGCATTGCGAAAATTCCCGGGGTGTCTTTCCTTTGTGTGACGGTTGGCTAGTCATGGCTAGTCGACAGAAAGCTGGACACATTTGTTTCCAATTCTCAAAGGATTTGCTGGCTGGATAAGGCGACCAATCAAAGCAAAGAAAAGTGTTCAATCAAATGCCATGAAACCTTTGGAAACTCGAATCTGGAATATACGAACGATGCATGCAAGAACAAAACAGTAGACCATTGAAATCCACATCACTTGTTTACAAGCATCCTCATTGAGGGCAAAAAGAGACGACTCGAGAATCATTTCCCTTCTACATGGCAGTTTCATAGATCCCCCTCAAAAAAAGAAAAAACAAAAGGTTTCACAAAAAAAAATGTTGAATTGCTATTCCAATCACTGTTGTTGTTGATATGATTACTCTTATCATCCCTATTGTTGTTACTAACATTACTATTATTATTGTTACTTTTGTCCAAGGGAATTCCAGCCGGGAAAGGTTGCTACCCAGGCCTCAAGGGTTGGAGGCACCTGCGCATGCCCTGGAGACCTGGCGTCTCAAGACGGTACGGTTCGTCTCAGACGGTTGCCCAAAACCAAAGAATCACCATCATAGAAATATCTAATAAGGGTGAATACTAATGGTAACAATCACACTAACAATCATTATCAATGGTTTATAACAATCACACTAGCAATAACAGCAAGAATTGAATACGAAGAAACATAGTAATAGTAGCATAATAGTAGCAATTACCATGATAATTAACAACAACACAATGGAATAGTAATGATCATGGTCCATTGGTCCTTTGGTCCATGGTGATGATAGTAATGAGAACGCAACTCAAACGGTCAGGAGGGTCACCTTCCAGAGCCATGGCCAAGGACAAGCCACCGAAGAAGTAAGTCAAGGTTTCGGCCTGGGGGATCTCGACTCATGGAAAAAATGTTGGAAAACAGATGGAAAATAAAAAAAAATAGCTGAAGTTGATGCCAAGTACTATTGGATAATATGGTGATATGGTGATATGGTCACAGCAAGAAGCCCATCCCCCAAGGGCCGGGCCAAAACCATTAAGGAGCCTGGAAAGCCTTGGAGGGGCACAAATTTCCAGGCTGACATGGTCACAACTGCTTGTAATTTGTCCAAGATTGGGAGGTGCATTTTGTTTAACATGATTCATCATACATATATATATATATATATCTGTGTGTGTATATTATATTATAAAGATTATACTGTGTATAAAATATGTTTTTTAATATGTATAATATGTTGCATATATTACGTATTATGTATTAAAATAATATAATATCATATGTATATATATATTTACATACATATATATCGTATCTTTTATAATTTGAAATCATATTATACTATAGTAAATTAAATTGTTAGTTGAGAATACGGTATTATCTTAAATCACGCAGGGTCCATTCCACGTGGTCTTTGCCGAGGCCTACCATCGCAAAGCACGGTGGCACGAAGACAGCAGTTCAATACCCAACATTCCATTCTTCAAGGAGTCTCGCAGATTTGCTTTGCTTCGAAGCTTTCAACTTCCATTTTGGGAGGGGGTCTCGCAGAATTGCTTCACTTGTAGACAGAATAGGGAGGTAGAGCGATATTAGATAGATTAGATTAGTTAAAGATTCGTTACAAATACACAAACACTTTTTTATAACTAATTCAACTTACAGTAACTTTTTATAATAACCACCAACCCAAACCACCATGTAAGTATAATCTCACCAAATGGATGTTCATCCATCCAAGAATGGTCAAAAATATTGACACATCCCTCAAATCTTCAACCCTTTCGGGCCGGATGTTCTGAGCCGCCGGACTCTTGGATGCCTGTTCCTGCAGGGTTGCCACCCTGTTTTCGTTAAAGTCTAGGCCAGGACCAATCCCATGCATTGCTCCAAAATGTCACTGATGGGATCTGATGGGCCACTACCAGAGATACATCAGGTGAAGGGAGCAGCTTGTTGGGATTGCAACCGGTGCGAAAAGCTTCGATGACTACCAACCCTGCAAAAGACCTAATTTTCTATCTGGGTACAGTGTCGTTTCGGTTGTCGGCAACTTGGACCAGATCTCCAGTTGTGGTATCAAAGTTCAAGTTCCCCCAAAATGATAGCCACTTGCGAACCAGTTAATTTTCAGCTGGGTGTCAAACTACCCTTTGCCAAAAGGCCTGTTTTTCGCAGGATTTTTGGTGCCTGCAACAGAGGAGCCATGGCATCCACCAAGACACAGGTGGCCTGGCTGTGGCAGCCAAAAATGAGGGCTCTTGGCCAACAAATTCCCAGGATACCGTCAACTAAGTTGGTTCGCCAATCATTTGGATATCATCTACGGATTGTGGCTATAGCCAATTCTGGATGTGCACCAACTAAGAATTGGATCCAATCCAAATAAAAGGATCTGAAGACCGCGCATTGGCTTGCCGTTTGGACATACGGCATGTTCCCAGGCCAAAGAGAATTTTTGTCATGGACTCTGCGACTTCTATGAAAAGCCTTCGGTGCACTGAGGATATCTTCAACCTTAAGCACCAAAACACATCAGTGCGATAGACTTTTGTCTGGCTGCCGGCCATCGAAAAACTTCACTGGTCTCGCTACAGGTCGGGGGTGCAATCAGGACGACCTTGGAAGATGAACCTGGCCATGGACCTCAGATCCAGCCAATCCAGCGGACAATCACCCCCATTCGCCATGCGGAAAAAAAAGATGGTGGAAGCTATTCATCAACCCGGAGTTCTCCAATAAACCAGCATCTGTATGGGCTTGATGTGAGTCAGCTAGAAAGCTATAGTAACTATAGTACAAGTGAACTTATACTACGAGATGAACAGTCAAAATCCTGTCCCCATGTTCTGCCTCACCAAATAACTCCCTCCCCGTCCTTGACCATTGGCGGGTGAGCTGCATCTCATGCCGGCCTCCTGTCATTTTGTTCAAACCCATGGACCCTGAAAGATATGTCACGATTCCACCAGGAAAATGTCTTCCACTCCGAAACGGCCCGAGTGCACGCCCGAGTGCCGGCCAAAGACGAAATGTTCTGATCAACCAGTGGCAGTTTAAAATCAACAATTTTATAGCCATTTTATAGGCATATTTTCCATATAATCTATTTCAATCCGGGCATCTCATGGGGATATCATGGCTTGGAGGATTGCCCAAGCACGTTGGCTTCTCCACAAGCGTTGTTGTTGGTTCGCGAACCGTTGCTGAGAATACATCTCCAAGCATTGTCGTTGCCTGTGTCTTGAATTCGTGCTCTTGGTGCAGTAATGAAACATAGCAATCGAAACTTTGAATCAAATTGTATATTATATATATATCCACTAGTACTATATATATATATATATCCGATTGAAATTTTGATGTTCCTATATAAAATAAATAGATATAGAATAATAGTATATAGAATAATAGGTTTCCAGCTGGCCATGTTTGATCACCACAGGGATCCCTCCATGTTTGGTGCTCAAATCCTGTCTCAAATCCCCATTTCTGAAAATTTATCCATGCTTTTTCGCGGGTACCCCCCAAACCTTGATCATTGGACTGGATAAAAGGGACATTTTAGATTTTAGAGCAAACTATGGGTTTTCTAAGTAAATATGGGGGGAGCTCTGTATCTTTTGCCCTTCATCCACTGCTGGGACCTCACTTTTTGGGCATTTCACCAGGGCGGCGGCTCCTGTTCCTCGGCCATGAGGGGACCTGCAGCCTTGTGCCGACACTATCGCCGAGTGGCGACACTAATCATTGACCCCCCAGACGGCTGCTGCATTCTATCAGATTATTGTGATTTATATGGGTATGGATCAATACCTATAGATACATTTTTAGTGGGATGAACATCCATTTACCAGCTATTTTGGGGTTCACTAGGTACCAGGGTTTTGACCCATCCCCATTTATATTGATTTACTATGTATGTAATGCAACATATTTCCCTGTACTGTACTGTCATGTAATGTACCGTAAGGTGAATATCGTGAATGTATATAAATCCAAAAATGCCCAAATTTTAGGGGGGCACTTCAGCGATTCGCCTGCACTACCGCGGAGTGCATGACAGGCGCAAACCATTGTGATCCATGCCGGTCGTTGGGCGCAGCGTCTGGAAAATGAGAGCTGGGCTGGGCTAAGACTTCAGTGAACTTCAGTTAAATGCTACGGGGAAAACATTCCACTGGCGATTTTTTGGTCGTTTGATGTCGTTTGGCTGAATCAAAAGCATTGAACTGATCAATCTATCCCCGAAGACCTGCAAAATAGATAGAAAGAATATATTCCAAGAGGAAACTATCTGCCAAACAGGCCGTTAAGGGTTCTATGTTTATTTTCAGAGTCGATGTTGAATTTTTTGGATGTCGAAGGGTTCCAGAATTTATGATTCGAGGCCCAGAGAAAAGACTCAAAGGCCTGCAAAACTCATGGGGTGAAAGACGTGAAAGGGCTGGGTGAGTTTCTGAAGAACCACGTGGTCAGCTGGTCATGAAACGGAAAGTGTGAATTTAAAGTATTCACCTGAAGATGAAGTGTTGAAGCGCACACTCACTGCTCGGTTTGTGGGTTCCATGTTCGTGGCTAAGGGTAACCACAAGTCTATGGACTGATTTTGTCGGTGAGCAAGCTTGAGCCGTGATGTAGCGTGGCGGCAGATGAAACTCTCCAATTTTGGATTTCTGGATCCCCAGACTTGTTTGACATCCAGGTTGTCAGACAACCCGTGACATTACCAGCACATGAAAAACCCGACTCGCCGTTCTTCCCAAGCCCTTGGAATTCTTTGGATCCTCCCCGACACATTGAAACTTTCATCCATAGCGCACCCAAAAAAAGGTGCGTCAATCCATTGTGGCCCAAAAACGGACCTCTGGTGGTCTCCACCTATCCCAAAATCTCCTGGGATGGAAAAGCATATCATCTGCATGTTCATGGGGTTTCATGATGAATTTAAGGCCAATCATTCAGCCAAGTTCAAAAATCATTCACAAACCTGAATCAAGACCATGGCATGGCATCATGGGATGTTTTGCTTATATAACTTATATACAAAACCTATTCCCATCGGTTTTTCAGCACCACCCATAGCACCTCCACGTTCCACACTTTTTTCGCCGCAAGATCGGCCTCTCGGGGTCCCTTTTTTCGGTCGCTTAACGAGCCGACCTGGCCGCTGGACCCAGCAAAGTTCGCTGGCGAACAACCCCAGCCAGCTACGGTTGATGAACGGATGGCAAAGAATTCACTACCCTGAAAAGTGAAGGGCTATTTTGTATACTTACCGAAAAATTTAGCCCATACATTCAACATCATTCCAGTGACGAATCTGATTGGTTGTGCAGGTGAGCGATCCTGGTGATTATCATTGCCATTTTCCCCACTATTCACAGAACCAAGCTGTGTCAAATGTCACCAATTTTGTTCAAGTGGGCACCTCATTCCCAAAATCATGACACATGATAGATATAGATCACATATCACAGCACTTTTTAAGCCAGGCTATGTTCATGTTAATCTGAGTTGATATGGGCATCGCAAGCAGCATCGCTCCACTGAGAATCCAACTGAGACCCGCAGGATGGAGGGCCTAGCGTTTCTACAAAGGAACAGAGTCACTGGATTCGGTGCATCGCAGGGAGGCAGGTCCCTACCTGATCCAAGTTTTGTGAAAAATATCAGCTGCCCAAGGAACGTCACCATGAGAGTCCCAAGCGCACAAAATTGGGCAGCTTGGGTCTCAAAGTTGGATCCATAGAATCTCCAGTGTCAACTGAGGGCTCCAATCGTCATCAGAACTTGCTTGACTTACTGGTGCTAAACGTAGGGAATTTTCGGGAATGATCCATAATCACTAGTAATAATAATCCCAGCAACCACCAGCAACCCCCAGCAACCCATCCATTCCCTACTAAGCACCAGTAAGTCAAGCAAGATCAAGCAAGTGGTCGGAAAGATACCCTCAGCATGCGGCTCCAAATTTGCTTGTGGCAAAAATTCTCAATTCAAAACCAGTCCTTCCAAGTGCAAAAAAACCTGGTCCGACCATCAAAACTTTTCTAGGCAACCCAAGCAGAGCAATCGAATCTGTGCCAAGAAAGCTAACTGAAACTAAATATGGAAGACTTGGACTTATGACTATATAATAAGTAACTAACCGTCCCATACCATGGCTTCAACCCCATGACAATGGACCCCCAGACCTCTTCGAAAGGCCGCAGCTTCTCGGAGCACCTGCGGGTCTGTAGCAGCAAACAACACTTGATCACCCCATATGGCTATCAAATCCGCACACCATGTGCCACGGTCCAAAAAGCCTTTGCTTTAGTATGCCGACCGCAACCTCACAAGAGTATTCGTTGCAGTATCGCAGCCTCAATCTTCTTAAACTAAACACCTACGTGACAATGTAATTCCCATTGTTCAACCCATCGTTTCTGGTTCATACCCCTTTTTTTTGCATGGCTCTGTGATTTGTCGGATGATTGCCCCGCAAATCCAACTGTTGTATCCCATTACATCCCCCAGTTATCCTTAATGTATTATCGCTGTGTGTATATATATATATACATATATGTATTTATTTATTTATTTATTTATACATATTATATTATGTCTATATATATATTATATATAATTTATATACATATTCTATTATGTATATATGTATGTATGTGTATATAATTTCTATTCCTGAATGATGTAAACCCAAAAAGATGGGGATGATTCACCAATTTTTCCGGTGCACCGGCAACTTCTCAGGCACACCAACCCTGGTGTGGGCCTCGGCGATCTGATTCCCATCACCAGGAATTTTAAGTATGGAATGATATGACTTTACATAGATATGGAAAATGTTCACATGGTAATTTCGGGAAAATAGGAAAATTCGACATAGATCAATGGTAAAATTGGATTTCAAGAGCTGTCATTTGTGCACGAATTGGATGGTAGGATACGGAGATTCGAAAGGGAGGGCCTTATCCACATTTCAAAAGTCTCGGTCCTTATCCGTGAAAGTCACCCTTGGATCCGTGTTGAGGCGCACAAGATCCGAAAAAAGGCTGAGAAAATTCAAATCCACAGTCTACTTTCATGGCATGGTCTGAACACTTATTGCACAGATTTCAGTTTTTTGAGTACGCACTGTGTACCTTTTTACGACAGTGTCACCAAACTGATTCCGGAAACGTAAAATGATGGATCTTCATCTGCCAAATTGAGCAGCAATGGAAATGTCTACCTCCAAAATCAACACGTGGATGTTGTAACACAAAACCAAAAAAGGGCTGTCACTGACAATGTCTAGGTTGATGGTGTCCAACTAGAGCTCGATGCTGTGGCAAGCCAAAGTAACGCCGCAAAACTGGCCCTGCACCAGCCTTGAACTTCTGACATCTTTATTGATGGGATATCAAATTCTTCGATGTCTGGCCCATTAATCTGAATGGGTATGTGTCAAAACTCTGATACATTGGTGAACTCAAAAAAGCTGGGACTTCTGGGTGTTCATTCCATTTCATTCCTCTAGATTTGGCCTTAAAAAAGTAGTGCATTATAGTTATAGCATGCTTTTGAGATTTTTCATCAGCCAAATGAATGCCAAATGAGTATTCGATTTTTGATCCATAGCTGCCATAGCTGCCAGGAGATCCCCTTAGATTCCAGCTGCTTTCAGCAGCTTGTCCCTGTAGCGATCATCCTGCAGGGATCGCGTGCGCTCGCTCGCGGTTTCCGCGTGCGTGCTAAACGTAGGGTTGCTGACGTAGGGTTGCTGGGGTTGCTGGGATTATGACATTACTAATTATTACTAGATATTACTAGTATTTACTAGTGAAATATGATGAAACTAGTGATGAAATGGAGCATTCCCATTTAAATTCCCTGAACCTTTAGACGTTTAGCACGAGTTTTTTATGACATCCAACTGCTGTGCAGGTCATGTCAGGTTTGACTCTGGTGAAAAACTGCACAAAGGTTGCTGCTTTGTCTCAAGTGTAAACCATAGAAGAAAATTTTCAAATGTGTTGCAGCAGATGCAGTTCAGTTTTTTGGGATTTTTGATGATTTTTGGGTTAATCCCTTGCCTCGAATATTAAACCTTCAGAAACCATGGATTTTTGTTAGGGATTTACACACAAAGGGTGTTATATTATAGTCCCCTCCTCGTCCTCAATCTTTCACGTCACGTAGTGCGGCAACAACAAATGGAGTAAAAATGTGGAAAAATGCCACTATGCCACTATGCATCACCAAAACAATGATCCTTTCTGTCAATGAATGCTCCTAAATCTCACTATATAAACAACTGTTCCTGCGAAAAAGAAAGTGAAGCGTTGTTTTGAACTTATGGATCTTATGGGAAAGTCAAACCACTTCAATGCTTCAAATGCTGTTCGTATGTCTTCATCATCGCTACCATTTCATGCCCACAACGGGGATATGGAAAACCCCCATAGGATGACAGGCTCGGAAGCTGACCTGTGAAGCTGACCTCAGTCGGCCATTTGTAAAAGCCCAGGAGCTGCCAGTTGCATCGAGACATTAGGTAATCACTATTTTTAATGGGTAAATCCACTATAAATGGTGATTTATGGATTTACCCTCTGGAAATTTAACATAGCTATTGAAAATGGCCATAGAAATAGTGGATTTACCCATGAATAGCATGGTGATTTTCCAGTTCGTTATGTAAACGTTTACCGGAGGGTAACCATCTATGGTTCAGTGATCACTCAAAACACCTCAAGAAGCTGTTTTGGGCACAACAGCGTGTTGCTCGGATCCAAAGGAGGCACTTTCTCATATTGAGACACGACTTTGCCACCTCCAAATGAACCACGCATTTTGCTGGCAGGAAGCATCATCAAAAGCAAGCTGTATGTGAGCGATGATGCTACGAAAGGGCAAGGAAGCAGTTTCAGCTGCAACGCAAGCAACCCAGCATGGTGAAAAAGTCTAGCACATTGAACCACAAAGCTTTACTTTACACATGTTCATGTTCATATGATTTCATATGCAAGAATTGAGCATGATGTAGAACCAATGACAGTTTAGCTGGGCAGAAACTGCTGAGGCAAGTTGATGCAAGTAGAGCGATCATCATCAAAGGCGATGACCACCAGCCACAGCACACTTCAGTGACACTTGACCGCTTCGCGGCCTATGTCAAACATCCCGGCGCAATATTTACCGGCTCAAACATATCCCACAGTATTGGACATGAATGCAAACCATGAACTGTGCTAGGAGCTGCTGGCTCTGCTGTGCTTGGACTGGTGCACACTCCTGAGACATAGGCTTTGCTGGAGGACACACCATTGTATGAGATGTAAGTGCTTGAGCACCCCATCGACATAAAGGTCGTGGCTTCTCCGCATTTCTGCTCCTCACAGGCCAAGGCTTCGGTACAGCTGGTGCATTTGCAGCTGCTGTCGCATGGCGGTGGACTTGCTGCCTCTGTTGTTGTGACACAGCCATCGCTCACTGCGCACCTGCACGGGCAAAAATGCTTCTTTGACCCCTGAACCTTTCGGTTCGTTTAGTGCTTCTTCTGGTTTCTTTCGGGAATCCTTAAAATTTATGTAGATTTCTTTTGTGTTTATTTGGGATTTGTTTAGTGTTTCGTTCGTGTTTATTTAGGGATTGTTTAGGGGTTCTTTCGGGTTTCTTTAGGTGTTTCTTGAGGTGTTTCTTTAAGGTTCCAGTTTCATTTCGGGTTTCTTTTGGGTGTCATGTTGGGTCTCATTTAGGGTGTCTTTTGGGTTTCATTTAGGGTTTCTTGGGGGTTTCGTTAGGTGTTTCTTTCAGGTTTCATTTCGGGTTTCTGTCGGGTTTCTTTTCTTTCCATCTGGATCTACGAGCTATTTAGGCTCTCTTGAACCTTGATTCAGGGTTTCCTTCTTCCATTAAAAAAGCAAATCCAGAAGCTGTGACACGTGCTGACTGACCTCTTGCACTAGTGCGGGTGGTTCTGCCGAACATCGGCAAGCCATAGATCACGGGTCAAAAAAAAAACGGGAAACGGGGGTTCACAACACACTTCCAGAGGTAAGAAAAAAAAATATGTTGGGAACAACTCAAAGAACAGGAGGGTCAAAAAAAGCAGGGGTAAGGAGCAGTGGTTTCAAATACACCCATGGTCAAAACAACGACCCCGCACCTGCACCGGGGAACTCAGCTTGATTGCGGACGCATCCGAGAAGTAGGTATCGGAGTCACGGGTCTCTTGGGTGTACACGTTAGGGAATCATCATCCGAGGAGACCGTGAGTTTCACGGAATTCACCCAGTGGTTTGATGCCCAGAACCTGGCGGAAGAGAGAGAGAGAGAGAAACGCCACGCAGCGCCTCATTGTGTTGGGGATCGCCGGGATCGCTGATTTTTAAAGAGCAAAACGGGCGACGTTTGGTGCCAAGTTCGTGCGCCAAGTTTCATCTGATTCGACATTCAATTTTTAGATACAAATGGCTGAGAGACATTCAATACAGAGGCAGAAACAGCAGCCGATAAGTCTGTTTCATGTTGCCGATACAATGGAAGCTCTTGTTGGATAACAACCCACGATTGGATGCAGGATCAAGCTCCAGAACACTGCGAACTTAAATGTCTGTGAACGGTGCATCCACCCCGCCAGATCTGGGTGTCCAAACAGCAGCATCAAAGAGGTCGATGAAGACAAAGACCAACAGGAGCAAAGGAGAAAGTCAAAAAAAATGTTAATCTACAGATGATGTTTTCGTATGATGTCTGAAAATCCTGGGAAAACCCTAAAAAATCCGATGGTTCGTCAAATTTTTCCATCAAACAGCCCGGGTCCGTCGGAGGCGTCACTACACTGCCCAGGGGAGCACAACCGCCGAGCTCGGAGTTGCCCTTGGGAAGGCACATGGAAGCATCATCCCTAGGATCTGATGCCCATAACTGGGGGGAAAAAGGAAAAAAAAACCTTTTCAGACCTACATGGTAGCTGGCGACTTCTTTCAAAACTCAACAAAGATGAGAAGAATGGATTTCATCAACAAACCAACCTCGGCTGAGCTGGTGTGAAATCTTTAGAAATACGTTTTTTATCCAATAGAAATGCTGACATAGCGCAAGATCTTGATGAGTGAGTGGTGCCATGAGTGACAAATGGGATCCAAGGAATCTGGAACCCAAGATCTCGAGGCTTCTTCACGAAAAGGATTTCTTCAATGAAGCTTCAAGTACCAATTCCTAGCAGTTGTGGGCAGCTACAACTACACCATATTCAAAGTGCATGGCTCTGACCTACTTTTTCAGAGGTGGTTGCGCCATCTATTTAACAGTGAAAAAATTCAATCCCAAATTTACCCGAAACAGCAAATGTGCCAGAAGATGGCGCAACCCTACAAGTGCAAAATGGGCCAAATTGCGCCATCTACCCCATTTTTAATTTAAATTCCTTCTTCCGGGACCGGACGTTTCGGCCATCAAAGCGTTGAAAAAGTAAGGGGGATGTGTGTTCAACAAAAGTTTTTCGGGGAAAGGATTTCTTCACTACTAAACTACTGAATAGATGGCGCAACCACCTGGGACAGTGCCATCCAATTGCATATTTGTCACGGAGAGATGGCTCAAGTCAAAACACCGAAGCATATTTGTCCTTCACTGCAATGTAGAAACACACTAGCAAACCATCTTTGCAGAGAATGTAGGAACACACATTCTTTGTCATGACTCCCTGATTATCCCTGATTTAGGTATACTGTACTGACTGTCATAGGGTGAGGCTTGTTCTAACGTCGAAACCTAGCGCGAGTGTTGAAAAAGGGCTCGGCCGGTTGAAGTCAAGTGTTGAAGGGAAAAACAATCATGTATAATGGATGGCGCAACCACCTGGGACAGTGCCATCCAGTTGCTCTTGAACAGTCTGGCAAACAATGCCCCAAAAGGGAAGAACCCTACTTGAAACCATGACTGTGGATTGCGCCATCTATAGGTTACCGCTGCGTTCCATTTGTAAAGGGAAAGGAAATGGAGGAGGGAAAGGAGAAAAAAAGGGGAAGGAGAAAGGGTCAGGAGAAAGGAGAAAGGAAAAAAGGAGAACAAAGAAGAAGAAAGGGAACGGAGAAAGGGAAAGGAGAAAGGGAAGGGGACAGGAGAAAAGGAAAGGGGAAAGGGAAAGGAGAAGGAGAAAGGGAAGAGAAAAAATCGAGCGCAACCGACTGGGTGAATGTTGCGGAGGCTTGGAAACTTTGGACTTAAGAATCCCTGCATAGATGGCGCAACCCTGAAACACATTGGCAACACATTCTGGCATAGATGGCGCGGCCCACAAAAGTAAGGGGGATGGATGTCACGCCCTCCGGGGGGTGTCAAAATTCAAAAAGTCGGCGCCATCTATACGCGCACTTTGGAAGAGGGCGGGGCCATCTACTTTGATTCCAGATCCAATGATAGCTTGATCGACCCCCCAAATGGTCAGACCGGGGATGGTTTCTTTCTACATTGGAGGTTTTGTGAATTAGCAACGCTGATGTCGCGGAAATGGAATGACTGACTCCCAAAAAAGACAGAGTGTCCTTCCTAAAAATTGCAGGTGCCCAGGTCCATGCTTCTTTCCAATAAAGTAAAACAAACAATGGGATCTGAACTGTTGGCAACTGCCGATTGCTGGACTATAAAGTAGAGTAAACGGTTTGAACGACCAAATTCAAACTGGACAGAAGGGAGGCTTGGAGTTATCATCTACACTTTGAGACAAAAACTATCAGGGGCCCGGCTGTTGTGGCAAGAAAATATTGGTCAGCATACAAATCCTCAAAAAGAATATCTTACAGATTCTTACAGGGAAAATTATTGGGAAATCATCTACCCTCTGGTAAATTAACATAGACCCTGGCAGATTGGAAGACTAGTTTCCATTAAAAAATGGTGATTTTCAGGGTCCAACTGTTTATTTACCAGAGGGTACATAAAAAGAATCTACATAAAAGGCTCAAGTCGGTGAAATCTCCCATTTTCTTCTTGAGTCCCCGTGTCATACCCTGAAATCCTCAAGTTTGCCCCAGCCCATGAGTCCATGAGCTGAGCCTAGCACCAGCAAGTTGCGGGTTTTCGGATGTTCCGTTCCAATGCCACCGCGGCCTTCCTGCCCAGCCTGAAGGAGGGTCCAACGGTCCCCTTCGGATGGTGGTTCCATGATTTGTTCTGGGCCAAGGAAAGTGGAGTTACCCTCTGGTAAACTAACATAGACCCTGGCAGATAGGGGTTGGAAGACTAGTTTCCATTAAAAATTGGTGATTTTCAGGGTCTATGTTTATTTACCAGAGGGTACGTATTGATTGGTCTGATTTTTGGGGCCGGCACCCAAAGAACGCACCATTTCATACGCTGCCAGGAAAAACTCATCAGCTCACGGGGCCCTTGTCTACGGTGGGTAGAAAAAAATACGGAACCATCGCCAAACAGCATCCCCAGCGGTGGGAATCAAAGGGAGGTCAAATTTCTGGAGTATCCCACACCCAAGCCCCAGCTTCCCCCGTTCCAGGCGCATCAGAAACACCGAGTCAGATGAACACTGAAAAATTGGAAGGACAACTGATAAATAGGGCATATAGGGCATACCCAATGTGCAATACAAAATTTCATTGGGAATATCATCACCAACCAATAAAAAAATTTTTGGTCCATTGCGCGCATTGTTTGGATAAACCCAAAGTTGCCTGCATCAAAGAGAGCTCACTGCAGGATGTCATCCTCTTGGAAGGTTCACACACTTCAAGATCTTCAAGGGTTCAGATTCAAGCTTAGCCTCTTGGAATCGAACACTACAATGGAAAATTCTTCCGTTCTATGAGGCATCCATCTTTCAATCAATATCATTAGATAGATTAGATATCAATAAGTAAAAATCCATAAAAATCCGTAAAAGGGTTGGCAGAATGGGAGTTCCCTGACATACCCTCTTTGCTTTGAGGTTCCACCCATTCCACCCCAACCTGTAAGGCTGCTCTCACCAAAGGAGTTGCCTCATAGCCAGACATGGTTGGATTCTAGGGGAGTTCAGCGGTTTACAATACGATCCCCTTTCCTTGGAAACCATACAGCATATTATCAGCAATGAAACCTTTTCGTCCAAATAGGTCTCAAATATTTTGTCCCCACACCCGACAGGACATACCAATCTTCGAGCTCATTCAAAAGTGACCCTCAGCGTCCCCACAAAGGCCCAACTTCACCGGACTTCAAAACCATTGGGGGTTCATTCTCAAGTTCAGCCTACAACATCTACACCACATAACCAATGATAAACGTCATCCAAATCCGTTCCCAGTTGCGGTTTTTTCGGGAAGATCTGTAAATCGTCCGTCAAATCCATCCGCCAAATCCATCCCAGCAGGGCGCACGCGATTCGCCCGGCCCTGGAGCTGTTTGAGGCGTGTGCGGTTCGGACCTTAAAAGGCGCGGGGACGTCCCATCGCAGTCCTGGTTCCCAGCCGGGTACATATCGTGGCTTTTCAATGGTTTTCAACCGGTCAAAGTGGTCATTTTTTCAGCATCACCTGACCTCAGTGCGCATCATTTAAACAATTTAAACACTCTGAAATGAGCCTGTTAAAACATCAAAGGCTCCCATCACCAATCTTGATCATGCAGGTTACATTTAGCTGTCTATCCCACTTCGTAGGTGGTGATGTGTAATTTAGTTCTTGGCAATAAGTCCTCCAACTAAGATAACCCTCGTTACAACCGGAACTGTCACCAAAGTCTTTTCACCATACAGTATATTGAGTGGCATGCGCATCCAAGCGCAACAGGCTTCCTTGCCATTCTATGAACATCACCTCTTGCAAGAGTCATCCCATGAATCTAGCTACCGACAGGTGATGTCTCAATTCTCAATCCCCTTAAATCCGCCGACCCCAGCCATCTGCAGGGGGAGCGCGCCCGAGAAAAAGTGGCTTCGCGGCACCTTTTCTTCTGGTTTCAGAAAGCGACGTTAGGTAGTAGGCTGCCGTTAAACGCTTCCCGGCGACCTCGGCCGCCCTTAAACCTTGCCCTTGAACCCTTCCCGGCGTCTTTGGCACCCAGCAGCATGTCCTTTGGCCACCTGCCGGGCGCTTTCCTGGAGATTTTCTTCTCGTTTCAGAAAGCAACGTTAGGCAGTAGGCTGCCCTTAAACCCTCCCCGGCGCCCTGAGCTGCCTTTAAACCCTTCATGGCGCCCTTCGCGGCCTAGCAGCATGTCCTTTGGCCACCTGCGGGCGTTTCCTGGAGATTTTCTTCTCGTTTCAGAAAGGCAACGTTAGGCAGTAGGCTGCCCTTAAAACCCTTCCCCGGCGCCATGAGCTGCTTTTAAACCCTTCCCGGCGTCTTTGGCGGCCCAGCAGCATGTCCTTTGGCCACCTGCCGGGCGCTTTTCTGGAGATTTTCTTCTGGTTTCAGAAAGCAACGTTAGGCAGTAGGCTGCCCTTAAACCCTCCCCGGCGCCCTGAGCTGCCTTTAAACCCTTCATGGCGGCCTTGGCGGCCTAGCAGCATGTCCTTTGGCCACCTGCCGGGCGCTTTCCTGGAGATTTTCTTCTCGTTTCAGAAAGCAACGTTAGGCAGTAGGCTGCCCTTAAACCCTCCCCGGCGCCCGGAGCTGCCTTTAAACCCTTCATGGCACCCTTGCCGGCCTAGCAGCATGTCCTTTGGCCACCTGCCGGGCACTTTCCTGGAGATTTTCTTCTGGTTTCAGAAAGCAACGTTAGGCAGTAGGCTGCCCTTAAACCCTCCCCGGCGCCCTGAGCTGCCTTTAGACCCTTCATGGCGCCCTTGGCAGCCAAGCAGCATGTTCTTTGGCCACCTGCCGGGCGCTTTCCTGGAGATTTTCTTCTGGTTTCAGAAAGCAACGTTAGGCAGTAGGCTGCCCTTAAACCCCCCCGGCGCCCTGAGCTGCCTTTAAACCCTTCATGGCGCCCTTGGCAGCCAAGCAGCATGTCCTTTGGCCACCTGCCGGGCGCTTTCCGGAGATGTTCTTCTGTTTCAGAAAGAACGTTAGGCAGAGGCTCCTTAAACCCTTCCCCGCGCCCTGAGCTGCCTTTAAACCCTTCCATGGCGCCTGGCGGCCTAGCAGCATGTCCTTTGGCCACCTGCCGGGCGCTTTCCTGGAGATTTTCTTCTGGTTTCAGAAAGCAACGTTAGGCAGTAGGCTGCCCTTAAACCCCCCCTCGGCGCCCTGAGCTGCCTTTAAACCCTTCATGGCGCCCTTGGCAGCCAAGCAGCATGTCCTCGGGCCACCTGCCGGGCGCTTTCCTGGCGATTTTAACGCTTTTCTGGAAATTTTCTTCTGGTTTCAGAAAGCAACGTTAGGCAGTAGGCTGGCCTTAAACCCTCCCCGGCGCCCTGAGCTGCCCTTAAACTCTTGATGGCGCCTTTGGCGGCCTAGCAGCATGTCCTTTGGGCACCTGCCGGGCGCTTTCCTGGAGATTTTCTTCCGGTTTCAGAAAGCAACGTTAGGCAGTAGGCTGCCCTTAAACCCCCCCGGCGCCCTGAGCTGCCTCTAAACCCTTCATGGCGCCCTTGGCGGCCTAGCAGCATGTCCTTTGGCCACCTGCCGGGCGCTTTCCTGGAAATTTTCTTCTGGTTTCAGAAAGCAACGTTAGGCAGTAGGCTGCCCTTAAACCCTCCCCGGCGCCCAGAGCTGCCTTTAAACCCTTCATGGCGCCCTTTTCGCGGCCTAAGCAGCATGTCCTTTGGCCACCTGCAGGGCGCTGTCCTAGGAGATTTTGGTTTCAGAAAGGCAACGTTGAGGCAGTAGGCTGCCCTTAAACCCTCCCCGGCGCCCTGAGCTGCCCTTAAACCCTTCATGGCGCCCTTGGCGGCCTAGCAGCATGTCCTTTGGCCACCTGCCGGGCGCTTTCCTGGAGATTTCTTCTCGTTTCAGAAAGCAACGTTAGGCAGTAGGCTGCCCTTAAACCCTGCCCGGCGCCCTGAGCTGCCTTTAAACCCTTCATGGCACCCTTGGCAGCCAAGCAGCATGTCCTTTGGCCACCTGCCGGGCGCTTTCCTGGAGATTTTCTTCTAGTTTCAGAAGAAAGCAACGTTAGGCAGTAGGCTGCCCTTAAACCCTCCCCGGCGCCCTGAGCTGCCTTTAAACCCTTCATGGCGCCCTTGGCGGCCTAGCAGCATGTCCTTTGGCCACCTGCCGGGCGCTTTCCTGGAGATTTTCTTCTGGTTTCAGAAAGCAACGTTAGGCAGTAGGCTGCCCTTCAACCTTTAAACCCTTCATGGCGCCCTTGGCAGCCAAGCAGCATGTCCTTTGGCCACCTGCCGGGCGCTTTCCTGGAAATTTTCTTCTAGTTTCAGAAAGCAACGTTGGGCGGTAGGCTGCCCTTAAACCCTCCCCGGCGCCCTGAGCTGCCTTTAAACCCTTCATGGCGCCCTTGGCGGCCTAGCAGCATGTCCTTTGGCCACCTGCCGGGCGCTTTCCTGGAAATTTTCTTCTGGTTTCAGAAAGCAACGTTAGGCAGTAGGCTGCCCTTAAACCCTCCCCGGCGCCCAGAGCTGCCTTTAAACCCTTCATGGCGCCCTTGGCTAGCAGCATGTCCTTTGGCCACCTGCCGGGCGCTTTCCTGGAGATTTTCTTCTCGTTTCAGAAAGCAACGTTAGGCAGTAGGCTGCCCTTAAACCCTCCCCGGCGCCCGGAGCTGCCTTTAAACCCTTCATGGCGCCCTTGGCGGCCTAGCAGCATGTCCTTTGGCCACCTGCCGGGCGCTTTCCTGGAGATTTTCTTCTGGTTTCAGAAAGCAACGTTAGGCAGTAGGCTGCCCTTAAACCTCCCCGGCGCCCTGAGCTGCCTTTAAACCCTTCATGGCGCCCTTGGCAGCCAAGCAGCATGTCCTTTGGCCACCTGCCGGGCGCTTTCCTGGAGATTTTCTTCTAGTTTCAGAAAGCAACGTTGGGCGGTAGGCTGCCCTTAAACCCTCCCCGGCGCCCTGAGCTGCCTTTAAACCCTTCATGGCGCCCTTTTTCGGCCTAGCAGCATGTCCTTTGGCCACCTGCCGGGCGCTTTCCTGGAGATTTTCTTCTCGTTTCAGAAAGCAACGTTAGGCAGTAGGCTGCCCTTAAACCCTCCCCGGCGCCCTGAGCTGCCTTTAAACCCTTCATAGCATGTCCTTTGGCCGCCCTGGAGATTTTCTTCTGGTTTCAGAAAACAACGCTAGGCAGTAGGCTGCCGTTAAACCCTCGCCGGCGCCCTGGGCTGCCTTTAAACCCTTCATGGCGCCGTTGGCAGACAAGCAGCATGTCCTTTGGCCACCTGCCGGGCGCTTTCCTGGAAATTTTCTTCTCGTTTCAGAAAGCAACGTTAGGCAGTAGGCTGCCCTTAAACCCTTCCCGGCGCCCTGAGCTGCCTTTAAACCCTTCATGGCGCCCTTGGCGGCCTAGCAGCATGTCCTTTGGCCACCTGCCGGGCGCTTTCCTGGAGATTTTCTTCTGGTTTCATTTTCTTTTCTTCTGGTTTCAGAAAGCAACGTTAGGCAGTAGGCTGCCCTTAAACCCCCCCCGGCGCCCTGAGCTGCCTCTAAACCCTTCATGGCGCCCTTGGCGGCCTAGCAGCATGTCCTTTGGCCACCTGCCGGGCGCTTTCCTGGAGATTTTCTTCTGGTTTCAGAAAGCAACGTTAGGCAGTAGGCTGGCCTTAAACCCCCTGAGCTGCCTCTAAACCCTTCATGGCGCCCTTGGCGGCCTAGCAGCATGTCCTTTGGCCACCTGCCGGGCGCTTTCCTCGAGATTTTCTTCTGGTTTCAGAAAGCAACGTTAGGCAGTAGGCTGCCCTTAAACCCCCCCCCACCCCCTCAGCTGCCTTTAAACCCTTCATGGCGCCCTTGGCAGCCAAGCAGCATGTCCTTTGGCCACCTGCCGGGCGCTTTCCTGGAGATTTTCTTCTCGTTTCAGAAAGCAACGTTAGGCAGTAGGCTGCCCTTAAACCCTCCCCGGCGCCCGGAGCTGCCTTTAAACCCTTCATGGCGCGCCAACTGTTTTGGCCACCTGCCGGGCGCTTTCCTGGAGATTTTCTTCTGGTTTCAGAAAGCAACGTTAGGCAGTAGGCTGCCCTTAAACCCTCCCCGGCGCCCTGAGCTGCCTTTAAACCCTTCATGGCGCCCTTGGCGGCCTAGCAGCATGTCCTTTGGCCACCTGCCGGGCGCTTTCCTGGAGATTTTCTTCTGGTTTCAGAAAGCAACGTTAGGCACTTTTTCGCCGCCTTTTTTGCGCCTTCTCCGCCCTTCACTGCCATGGTGTTTCCCCGTCCGGGGGCTGTGGTTTTGCGCGGTCTTTCCTCGCCCAAGAACCGCGTTTTGGAGCGGGACAAGTAGCTTCGAAATCTCCTCATTTTCTATGGGTTTCAGAAGTTACGTTAGGCACTTTTTCGCCGCCTTTTTTGCGCCTTCTCCGTCCTTCACTGCCAAACTAATTGTTTCAACCGAAAATCTTGTCAAGGTTTTCAAACATTCATGTGGGTAGTTTCTTGAGAGTTTCATTTAGGATTTCATTCATGAAGGGTCAAAAAAACACGGAAAACAAGGCGGAGGATCCAAAAAAACAAGGTCCCCGTATACTTTGATAAACTATCATGCACCTGTGCGGCGCAACCATGCACCTGTGCGGCGCAACACTAGCTGCATAATAAAAGGCCAAAACTATCGTATAGATATATCTAACTATTGTACAGTTACTTAGATCCGTGAACCCATAAAACCATAGGATCATAATATCAACATGCACCCAAATGAAAAACCAATTTACAAATGAAAATTCAAACCTATCAAATATAGTTCACAACAATATACATAGGAAAAAGGTCGAAAGCCTCAGAATTTAGTTTGCTTCCTTGCCGATTCTTCCGGGGTCGGCGGCAGGGGCGGCAGCCCTTAATAAAGGTTAGAGAAGAATCCCGGTATACTAAACGGCACAATCCAAAGCTTGCGCCCACTCAAGCTGGCGTCAACTCAGTCCCAAACTGCTGGCAGAGGCCAACAAATCCAGCCTAAGTTGGGAGGCGATGCGGGAGATTTTTATGGTATGTTTGGTACTGGTCGAAACACCAAACGAATCAGTTTCCAAAAGATCGCGCTCGGTCCCATTGGTCCCATGTAACCAAACCCTTCTCCGACATCTCAGCAATGATGAAAAGTTCCTGCTAGTTCTGCAGGTCTCACCACAGTTCCCTCTCCGGATATTGGTATATGCCATCCCTCTGAAACTTCTCGGGTGCCCAGCTTTTTGTAAAGATTGAAGGGATTGTCTGTGGCATCCAATCCTCAGTCCAGCCACCGGCTTTTGAGCTTCAGCCAACACTTTCCGGACAAGTCATCCTCTGCTAACCCAACTTCCAACCGCTTTCAGACCCTGAGATCCTCACCTAAGTTGCCGTTTCATGGTTCTTAAGGTACCAACCAGTTCACTGTATTATCGATGTTTAGCGATTTTCGGATGGGACCTGGTCAACAAGCCTCCGGTCATACGTCCCCTTAATATTCGATGGTGGTTCAGAACTTGAAATATGGTTACTAAAACCAATTCTATAATCCCTTCCCCCAGATGTTTCTGGCAAATTGGGGACTGCTATTTTATTTGGTTTACCACCAACCAGTGTTTTTTTCCAGGAATTGATAGTTTTTACGACCACCTCGGGATTATCCACATCTTTCAATGACTGATACCCCGAGATAAAAACTAGCATAGAAATGGAAAACACCCCTGGTCTTCAGCCAAACAAACCTCTACCTTCATGGTGGATTGTCCATATCGTTGTGCCAATTCGCTGGAGGCTAAACCCATACTAAACCATCCCCATCAAAAACTATCGCTATTCAGATGCTTAAACTAGTTAAATCCTATGATATCCAATAATGTTAAGCCTCGATTAACAAGCCCCTGGGCTGTCTAATAGGAGGGTACAATTTTGGTAGCAAACTATCACTGTTTCGGTCTGTTAGGCTCCTCCCCCGAATGAATCAGGCGTTTTTAAATGGATATTGACGGATATTGACATCAACTGATGATTTTCCGCCCATGAAACCCCGTAAAATTGTCCTCTAAACCTGGCTATGGCTAGCTATTTTCATGTTTTCGATGCTCCACCGGAGCAGCTCCCAACCTCCAGGCTCCCGCACGGCCGAAGCGTGCCAGAGTGCAGTCCGGATCGAAGAGTCGCATCAGTAAACTGTTGATCCGCTCCTGGAATCGGGGGATTTGATGTCTATGATTTGGGGATGGGTCTGGTACCCCTGGTACCCCTGGTGAACCCCAAAATAGCTGGGATTTATGGATGTGAATAACCCACTAAAAATGTATCTATATAGGTATTGACCCATACCCATTTCTATGATTTTGATGTATAACAAAATCTGGAATCTAAAAATCAGGTGCTTTTTTATCTAATTATTTGATTGTTCTGTTTTCTTGAGCCAACAAAATAATGGAATGTTGTTTGAAAGATTTGACCAAAAATCTTGGATTTTTTGACACCACAAGGGGAAGTTGACCAACTAAAATGGAACTTGAACCAACTGGTGTTGAACTGGTGGCCTGGTCAGATGAGTGGCTCAGCGAGATTTCAGGGGGCTACACCAAGAACTTGGGGGTTGACGCAATCAGATGATGGTTTGAAAACAGCAAAAATTTATAAAAATGGTGAGAACCAGCTGAGAACTTTCAATTGTGTTTTTGAAAAATTCGGGGTGTGCTTCGGTTTTGATTGGAGCTATTGGACCCAAAAAAAACAAAAATGTTTTGGGACGCCTTTGGGTGCCCAGAAACTTGGGATGTTGGAAACAAAGATGACGAGAAATCTTCAATTCCCCAAGAAAGCTGGATGAGTTGCAGAATCTCAAGATTCAAGAGGTTGCATTTATTCGCATGTGGAAAGTCTTCGTGAAGCCTGCATCTGAGCACCAAGTTTCGGTATGTTTTACATGCTGTCGCACATCCACAAGGAGCTTTGAGGCGTTGAGTCCCAATGTGTTTTGTTTTGTAAAGGTCCACAAGCTGACAAGCACACCTCAAGCGCAGCTCTGGGGCTCGGACGATGAGTGCTTGTCTCATGCACCACTCTCCGGTTTTTTCACCTGATAACAAGGATATACAAGGATGCTCGCTCCAACGCAAGGAGCAAATCATACGTCTCATGATATCTATTCTAAAATCACTCCCCATCTTTGACAGGAAACCCATGCTACTTGCCACGCCTAGGGGCGGATGCCCTCGGTCTCCTGTCTCGCTCCATGTGTCGC